GTTTGAAAGTGTAGTGCAATAACACTGAAATGAAAAAATAACAATTTTCTCACTGACACCAGTAGTATGTTTAACGTGCACATACACAGACAGAAGCACTGTGATGAGCTTAGTGATGCATGTAGGTTGGATGGGCAACATTTTAAATTTTATTGTGGAAGTTTGGCATATTTTGAAAGCTGCTTTGATTACTAATATGAGTAGTTTTCTCATTATCATTTTCTCCCATGAGCAGATTGTGTAAACCATAATTTGAAATATGAAATCATTTTCCTTGAGCAGATGAAAAAAATGTCATTCCATGGCAAAATAAATGAGGTTAAACTTTGGCTGGACTCATGATGCATAATCTTCAAAAATTTTTGTGGTATAGGAAAGCCCCAGCAAACCTGAGATTCAAAACCAAGATCTGTGTGTCTAATAAACACAGATATTCTTCCTCAGATTGAACACTTTAGTTTTTCCCAACAGCCATTTATTTTGGTTTTGCATGTTGGAAATGCAACCTACTCTTTTTTAAAATTGTGAAGAAAAAGGTAAGTAAGAAACCGAGCCAGTTAGATTACAATTTAATAAAGTACTTGGGATCTACCAACTTCATAAGCAATAACACTTGCAAAAAAAGAGAAATGTAGGTTTTGTGACATTTTGTGGCCGGCTGGGAAAGCCCAGACACCCATGAAAGCCCAGGAGTGTTATGTTGCTGGGGCTGGTAACTTCAGACACACATGCCCCTGCCTTGTTAGCGTGCAATTCTGATGGTTGTGGGAAAGAAAGTGTAGTCTGCAAGTGTCTTGTCACCTTAGTCGTGAAGGGTTAACTCCTTAGAAATCTTTCTTTCCTCACTCTTGTTACGTTGCTCAAACTGATGCTTAAATAAATACTCTTTATATTTTTTCTAGACACTCGTGATGTAAAGGTTACTTCAATGAATTCCAAACCTTTGTGCTTCTTGGACACAAGATGGGGGCTTTTTGCCTTCAAAGTAAAAATGGTTGACTCTTCCTTCATCTATCACTAAACTTTGCCAAGAAAGAGAATTTTGAGACATCTAGCAGCCCTTGAGGGTCTACTTCACACACACCAGTGCCCAGGTTCTAAAACTGACACGAATAAGAGAGGAGCCTCATTCACTAAATAGTTGTAAGCCTGGCACCAAATTTATTATTGTACCAGACCAAGCAAGTACCAGAGAGCAGAGCAAACTGCCCCTGATCCCCAGGCAGCCCTGCTTTTCTGCTGAGGGACAAATCAAGGGGCTTTTGAAGTTTTCAACCTGTGACCTGTAGCCATAAGTTGTCTATCGGGGGGATGTGCACTGACATCAGAAATGAGCAGTGAAACACAATTCTGATATTTTATCACTGAGGGAAGTTACGATCCCTTTGCTGCCCTCATTGGCACTTCTCCAACAGCCGAGTTCCTCCATCAGCTGCCAGCAGCAGAGATGGGGTTTTCTCCCCCATCTTTACCACATCTTCTGCTTTCCTTTGCTTCTTTAGCCATGAAGAGCACGACATGTGAGACTCACTCAGCCATTTCAGAGCCTTACCTTGCTCACCACTGACAAGGCATTGTCCTTGTCCACCCTTCTCTCTCCCAGCCAGCCAAGCTCTAGGATGTGATCCCCCCAACAACAGCCTTAGAGGCATTACAGGAACCTGCACTCCAAACAGGCTCTGGCTGCAGTTGCTCACCAAATGTAGATCTAGATAGATTTGGTTTGAAGTTCCTCTGAAAAATCTTTAAAGATGAAGCTGAAAAATTTTTGAGTGCCCCCTTTTATTGAGAAGTTTACCTCATGCAGTTATGATATTTTAAGCTGCCTGTTGATATGACAATCAGCAAAATCACAGCAGAGTCACAAAGAATCATAGACTGGTTTGGGTTGGAAAAGACCTTTAAGGATGATCTTGTCCAGCCTGCCTCCTTTGGGAAATTCCTTTTACCATGATAGTGGCTGCTGAGTTCTCAAGTTTATGTATGGTATTTTCCAAGCTATTTATTTCCTCCAGTTTCCATAACTGCATGCTGAAAGGATGCATTCTCCTCAAAAGACTCTTACCATAATTCGTAAGATTATTATCTGTGAAAACAGTTTAAACGTGAAGTAACAAGCATCCATCTCATTTTGCTGTGAGTTGTAGTCTGTGTTTACTGGATCAATAGGAAAGAAGAGATCTGGTTGTATAAAGAAAGAGTGAATTCAGCTTCTCTAGAAGTTGTGAGGAGATTAACAGAAAATCATGTAATATTTTCAATGCCTTTTTTTTAATAATGCTGATAAAACAATTATAGAAATGTCAAAGGAGTTGCCCAAGCCACAGAAGAAATAATCATCAAAGTTATGGTTAGGATATAAGCATAACTGTGTCTGTGGTTTGTGACCAGAGCTCATAGGATCCTCCCTGTTTGTTAGCTTGTGCTTGTATTTTAAACAGTTCAAGTGAAACAGCACTCAAAAGATAAATTAATTCCACAGCAATGCACACTCTAAGGACTAAATACAACCTTTATTATAGAAAAAACAGTAATAGAAAAATAAAGAGCATATCTTACTTCTCATATCAAGTTATTTTTAGCAACCATACATTATAGCAAGCTAAAAGTGCTCAACCAAACCACCTTCAGACACTCCAGATGCTGATCTACATCTCCCTTCCTCTTTCAGCTGAATTAACAGCTGTTCCCTCATTTGGACTTGTCCATCAGAGAACAAAAAGGACTGAAAGAAATTAAACCTTGCTTTATAAACTCCTTGGAGATTTGACTAAGTATGACATCGTCGTGCTGATGGGATGTCCTTGTGTCTGCCTTGGGTGTGCAAGAGGCCACGGTGGATGGTGTGGGGTGGGAGCTGCGGCGGAGCACCAGGGAGCTTTTGGGATGTGGGGATGTGCTCACCTCCTAATTCCTGTGATGGCCCCACTGTCTCCTGACCAGCACATGCATGCACAGAAGTTAAGCTTTGCTGCCCTAGTGCATCATGTCATCCTCTTCAGTATCCTCTGGTTCAGGGATGGGTTGATCTGAGTCTGCAGCTGGGGGAAGAAGTGAGCTGGGGCTGCTGAGACCAGCACTGGTCATCTGGGACCCACTGCAGCTTTGTCCCCTCCCACAGCAGACAAAACTGTGCCCTTCTGCCCACAGGGTGACTATTATAGCCCACCTAGTGTACAACTAGTTTATCATAAGAGCTCTTTTCCTACTGTACTCTTTTAGGGAGTTTTTGCTCAAAATCTTTCCTCAGACAAGATATTTAAAAGAGCAGGTCTGGCAAGAGCAAGGCCCATTAGCCCTACAGAGTCTTCCCAATGGGAGGAAGACCTCAAGGCAGCTCCATTAGATAAAAAAGTACCAGCTAAACATCTACCTAAATTCTGGCAGAAAATAAATACAGGCATCAGCTTTTAAAGCTGCACATGGCAGCTCAGGGAGTAGCTGGGCTGTCTAATTCTAATTTAGCATTAAATTTGGAGAGGCAGCATTCCCTGTTCTGCTGGTGTGCTGACACACATCCCTGCTGCAGGCTGGCTGTATTTTGTGATCAGGAAGACGTGACGGGTTGCAGACTGGGCCACAGGTGGGAGAAAGGTTGCACTTAGGGGCTGGGATCTCCTGATGCAGTAAGGAATTCTCCAATGGGTCTTCTACTACTGTGAAGCACTAACTCCATTGGATTAATTTTGCTGCATGTTGGCAGCATTTCCTGGGAGCATCCTGTTGTTTCGTCGGTTTGTATCACGTGCACTTCTCCTGTGACATTTAGAGCAAGCCCAGAGTATTATTCATCTAGAAAGGGCTATGCAGCTTCATAAAAGTAGCAAACAATAGCAATAAAAAGCATAAGAACAAATCTTGTAAACCTGAATCTGAACATTGTTCAATAACACCAGGTTGATTCAGTGTAGAAATAAAAAAAGTCCGGGGAAAAACATTTATCTTGCATCACTGGTAATGCCAGAGGGTGTCACAAGATTAAACATAGAATTAGCAATCATTAGGAACAGTTTTCTCTCCTCATCCTGATATCAGATTTTAAAAGACTGAATATTAACATAAAGTGATTTTTCAGAACAGAACAAGCAAATATTCCATGTCAGCAGAAGAAACACACTACAGATCATGCAACCCAGCAATCCAAAGAACATGTGAAATACAACTTAGCTTTGAGTGGGAGAGGTTTATTGATCACTGGGCAGAACAGCTTAGGGTCAGACCATTCTGAGCTTTAAACTGAATACAGTTAAATCACTGTTTCCGTATTAAAGGTTGGAAAGTTTGGTATCCCATTGCTTGTGCTACTTTACCTTATAAACGTACTCTTCTGCCCCTGTGCTCACAGCTGCTTCTGACTTCTCTCTGATGTTTCTCCAAGTGCAAAAGTGCTTTGGAATTGTCTTTCTCTTTCTCATTTATTGGTTCATTCGGATTCAACGGGAATTTTTTTGGAGACTTAATTATTTCTACAGCTACACATTATACTGATTATGGAACAGTATGACCATGTTTCCTACTTCACACAGACCAACATCTTTTAGTAATTCATGGAATGAAAATATTTCCTTTCATTCTCAATTTAAAGAAGTCAACTCACAATTGTTAAATACTAGTAAAATTTCAAAACTGTTTAAAAATACTAAAGGGAAATTAAACTGACAAGATACAATGACCAGTTTTACCCAGTGAAAATCCAGTGAGGTTGCATCGTCATTCACAACTGCTCAGGATTTGGGCCATTCTTCATTGAAAGGAAATTAGCTCATAGCATTTATATTTTGTTTAGATACAGATTAAACTAGCAATGTATTTTTGCATATGATTTCAGTCTTTACTTTGTTTAATGAGTACCATTCCACAGTCCTTTTCCAGGCCAAACTTTTATTAGTAAAATTTAAGCCCTTACCCTAACTCCTTAGGGGGAAGTGTGCTCTTATTTAATGTTATTTTCTCTTTTGCAAATAGTTTTGTATATAATTTCTTATCATTTGGACATCATTGGCTTCAGTGAGCAGATTGTATGGTGTGTGCACATGCATGTATGTGTGTGTGTGTGTGCACATTTGCTTTGTAAATCTCCTTTGTAAACAAGGAGCTTTTTCTTTTTACAACAAAGAACATGAGCTGGACTTAATCTCAAAAGCAATTACTACTCTCATGCCTTCATCATCGGTTTAGCAGGAAATAAACTGCAGAGTGTATCAATTAATGTGCTTTAAAGCAACTCCAAATTATTTCCACATGAAAATCCAGCATGCTGGATAACATTCGCTTTTGGACAGAGAGTTTGTCCAAGGGCTGTGCAAGCTTTTAGTTCTTAGAGAAGCCTTGAACATACAGTGTCAGTGGATTTCCATTTCTCAGGGACCTCGGGCAGATCTGCCACAATGGTGGTCACTGAATCCCAGGCATTTCCAATGAGTGTGGCATCTTCCCAGATTCAGAGATCCCAGTGCTGCCATCTCAGTAGAGGGGCAGTTACTGGGCTCAGTGGTGGTCACTGTAACAGGTCCATGTCTGAACAGGACATGGGTGGTTCGTGAGCTCTCACAAGACTGTGACATATTCAGCTCCAGAGTAAGAGTCACATATTACCACTGTGTCTTTGCAAAGGGCTTAATAGGAAAAAACCCAAGCACTTAGGAAGTGTAACTCTGTTGTAGGACTGCTGAGAACTTGCTTGTGAATGGAGTCACACTGACACTTACCCTGAGATTTTGGCACACATGTTCCCACAAGGCTTTCACTGAGCTTTAATTTAACAGGGTTGTCTGTAGCTCTGGATCTCTGCTTTATTCATTTGAAAGTCATATCACCAGACTTACATATTTTAATAAATCTAAATATTATAATTAACAAACCTGATGGATTTTCTTGGGGATACCAATACTGCTTTAAGCTATTTCTAGGAATCTGACTTAGGTGGTCTGAATTATCTCCTTTGTTGATAACACAGAGAATTTAGGCTCCTCATTTTGGTCATCTGGGCTACATCTAAATTAGATGCTAAGAATAGCCTAAAGTAGAGGATATGAGTTGTCTCCTTCCTGCCCTAAAGAAACTACTTGCAGAAATATTCATTAGATTTAAACACATGGTGTCATCTCACTTAAAAATGTGGCTTCAGGGCAGAGAGATTGCCAGGCAGAAGCTAAAACTCCCGTGACTTCTCTGCTTGCTACACCCATTTGGAAGTACAAGGGCACCTCAGATGCGTTCGTATCCTCTATGTGGCTTCCTCCGGGAAATCAGGAAAGTAACAAACACGATGACAAACAGCCCCAGGATACTCAGGCCCACTGCGATGGGAGCTGCTTTGCTGCTTCTGTCAGGAAAACATTCTTCTTCTGAAAGGAAAAGATCAGAGATTGTGTTATAGCAGAACACTGTACCCTGAGACTACACATCTATATTTCAGAAAAGTTAGCAAATACAAGACAGATGTTCTCAAAACGTTGTTTTCTTTTGGTTTTTTCTTTCTTTTTCTGAACTATATTTTATACATTTTTATCTGTGGTGAACCTTATCTCAAGAAAACCATCTTTGCCCCTTTCACAGTAGTTGCATGCTTCACTAGAGAGTGACTCTACTCCCTCATGTCTGTGGGAATTGTTTTGCCACTCAGCACACACACACACAGCAGGAGCTTTCTTGCTGGTAGCAGATGGGGAGCATCACACCACAAAATACCAGTCTAAAAATAAAGAGCAAGACACATCCTGCATGGTCAAAAACTGCTCCTCATCTAATCTGCCCAGCAAAAAGGATCAGGCCAGAGAAGGGAGCCCAAAGTCCAGCACATCACTAGCACAGCAAGGATCCTCATTAAGTCAGTGTTTCCTAAGAAAAATCAAATTCTTATTATTCTCCCAGTTAATTCAGAATATTTGTGAATCATAGTGTCTGACTTAGGGCATTGTGGTCAGATAAACCCTTCAGTATATCCCAGCTGAGCAGTGAATCCAGTTTATAGACTGGGTATGAGGGAGATCCAACTCCCTCTGCCCTTCTCACTCCCTGTGACTATTCCAAGGCAGGTTTTGACAGCACTCTCAGATAAAAGGCCCTGTTGTTATTCCAGTGACTATGCTGGCACAGATTGTAGCTTGGCTTGGGCTTCTCCACCATGGGAATCTTTACACTGACAGTGGGCAGTTTGCCCAGGGAGCATGTGGAGTACATGACATCATGTCACAGCTCCAGAGCCTCCACATGGCTCTTCCCAAAAGCTGATCCACTTCTTCTCTAATCCAGATGGTGATGCCACAAAGTCAAAGGCATCAACACTGTACTAGATGTTGCCTTTTAAAAGCTTTGTCTGGTTAATATAACCTGTTGTTAAATGAGATTAAAAATATTTGCATTTAAGTATTGTAAAAGCCAGAGATGTTTGAATTGGCCATTTTTCTTTGATGAAACCTTGGGCTATGAACTCTAGGAATTGTTTCTGATATACTGAAATACAGTTCAGAAGGCACTTCTGAACTTTCCAGACTCTTAACAGGCCAAGCTATTGATGTAACACTGCTGCAGTCTGTACAAAATTGTAAGGAACTTGAAACCAGTGACCATTAATGTTTTCTTTTTCTTCCCCTTTTAAAGATAAGCACATCAGGAGCAGCAGAAATGAAACTATGAGTCTTGAGACACCCAAGGGAGGTGGCTGGTGATGTATTTAGAGCCATTCTTTCAGTGGGGATTTTGTCTATCAAAATCTGCATACACAGCCAAGGTATATAACAGTTTCATGACTATTTCACAGCCACTGGGGAATTATTTCAGAAGTGAGAACTGATTGCTCAGCTCTCTGATTAGGAGCAAAACTAATTTAAATTTATATATGGTATTCATTAGCAGAGATTAGCCCGATCTTGGAGACAGAGAGAGAACATCTTTCTCAACTCAGTCTCTGCTAGAGGTGAGGCCATACCAAATCCCATAACTGAAATCACTCATTGTACAAAGCTGAATGGGAGTGTAGAGACCAGATGGGATATCATGAGTTGTTCCAGCTCAGTGTTATCCCATGAAAAGATTCTTCACAAGAATGAGAGCATAAATTGGGTTCTCAGTGTGGTTTTTAAAAGGTCTGTATATTAAAAAAGCCCCAAGTGTCATTTCCCATTATATTCCTTTTAGAATGAGAAAAGCAGCCAAAATGGTGACCTAACAGAAGAAGAATTGGTCAAACACAGCCAAAGTGAGTCAAAAGACAGATCTAAAGGAAAAAGAATACAGGGGCAATATTTTGTAAGCATGCAGAGAGGCAACACTGTCAGAAAAGGGAGTGTTTTTTTAGTGCATCTGAAGGGCTGGAGAGCTAATCAACCCCTCTGTTCACCTGAGTTCTTGAATGGAAATACCCTGAGAGGAAGTGACAAAAATGAGAAGATGTACAGTTTGAAAGAGACAACAAGGTTCCACCTCGTCCACCTCTCTGATCTGTCTTTTACTAAGAGACCTGGTTGTCTCTTTGTGGTGCTTCTCCAAGAAAAGACAAAGTGCAGAGATGAGCATCACATTTAATTCTGACTCTCTGAGTGTGCTAATTGTGATCCTCCTCAGGAGCACATTTTGTCACATCTAGACACAGCTGCTCTGAAAGTATCATCCTGCATTCACAAATATCCCTTATTAGTTGGCAGTTCTGCTGCTGCAGCTGTGAGACAACCTGAGTGTCAGAAGCTTTTAAAAATAGCTAAAATATGACTATATTGAGAACAGTGACCTGGGACTGAACTGTAAAGTTGGGGTTTTGGCAGTGCACTGGTGGTGAACACCTCTGCTTGCTCTGGGAGAAAATGGGTGAAGAATAAAATTCTGGCTGTAGAGCTGAACATTTTTCATGAGAAGGTGAAACAGAAGGTACTGAATGCAGGAGGGAAAGATACTTTTCTATCCTCCATAGGTATTAGCACTGTGTTGGAGGTGACTCAGAAAAGGTTGAGAATACAGCAGCAGACAGGTTACATTATGTGGGAACAAATACAAAACTGTGACTGTGCTGTAGCAGGATCACCCCCTGTGTATGGGTATAATTTAGCAGATATATCTATCAGGCTACCAGAGTGCTGACATGTAGATCTTGGAAGGTGGAAAGGTGTCCTTCTACTTACCTTTTCCAAACTGGTTACCAACAATATCAAACGCCTGCAGCTGCATATGAACAAAGAGGATCTGGAAGTTCTTCTCCAAGGTGAAGGTTTGCCTGCTGGCACACTTAAAGGAATTCCCCAGCTTTGTTGTAAACAGCTTCTCATTTAGGGCTGCATAGTAAAACATACCTGGAGGCCAGAAAGAGGCAAATGAGAATTCAACTCACTGTGCTGGAAGCAACAGAGATAAAATGAAGGATCTCCAGTTGCTTTGTCAGAGCAGGAGTCACTGATGTGACTAAAGCATGGATATTTTCCCCATAAAGTATGATTTATATTTTTTCAAGTTTAAATGAGTGCTTTAAGTATCAATGGGTGACTCAGCTGAGGCTGGGTCTAAAAAAGTGACTAAAATTTCAGGTGCTCCTCCAAATCATATTTTAACAACTTGAGTCTGCAAAGGGGTTAGAATTCTCTCAGGAGCATGCAACTATCTTAAGTCTCCAGCATAGTTATTTCCAGACAAAAAAGAGATACCATCTCTAGCATGGGAATTTGACATAACTAGTCTGTATTACTTTATGTATTAAATATGTTTTTAAATATATTTCAGTGTCACAGTACTTTATGAAAAATATGGCCCAAGGTCCAAGCATGAAAAGGTTTTGTGACCTGCTTATATTCTTTATGCACATCCTCCTTTGGAAGCAGATAGGCCAGTTTAAGACAAAATCATCCATATCACCATCTCTGCTTCAGCGTATCTCAACCACATCTTGCCAGCACATCATGTGCAGCATCCTTTTGGTCCTCTTCAGTCAAAATCAGTACACCAGTGTCTGCTGGTACAGTTAATTGAGTCATTTTTATATTAAAAAAGTTAGGGACTTGCTCACTGCAAAAATACTACTGGTGGACTGTGAAATGGCAGCATTTGGCAGAGAGGCAGTGACAGACATCCAGGGAGAGCAATGTCTCTTGTCAGCACCACTTTGGGGGACACAAAGTATAGCTGAAGATTTTAAAACGTGATTAAATTGATCAGTTTATATTTGCTGCAATTTGCACTTAGCAATGCACAGGAAAATGATGGTCATTTAGACTGAGAATATTCCTTGGAGACATCCTCTGGATCAGCTTTTCTTTTACTTTCATTCCTATAGATCAGAACAGACTCCACTTGAGTTAATAAAATGCTCATCAGTGAGAATGAAAATAGGCATTGAGCTCAGTGTTACTGGGACACACCTGGTCGAGCTCCTGATTTGTTTTTCTTCCTTCAGGGACAAAAAGTCAATTTGATACTAATGAGTAACAGAGAAGCAACATAATAGAGTCATTATAGATTTGATATATTGGGAAGAATTTGTGCAAAATTAATGTCAGAGAAAATGTGAAGTGATGGCTCAGAATTTTTCTCTCTACCTTAAATGATGTTCCCTTAGCATTTCTTGGGATGTAGCACCTGAGGCAGCTCCTGACCACCCAAATGAAAATCCAATTGCCTGAGAAGAGCACAGACAGAGTCTAGTATTTCAGAATGGTTTGAAGAACTTCGGCCTGGGTTCAGTTCTTATTTTTGCAAAGCCAAAATGTCAAATGTGCCTCCTCTCCATATTGGCCTATCTGAAATCTGTATCAAACTCTTCATTTCTGTGATCCAGGTACTGTATTCATTCACTTTGCTGATTAGATTGGAAAGACATGCATCTGAACTGAAGTCACAGCACTGTTTTGTGTTTGCAGATAAAAATTCTGAGGACTGTTTTGTATCTTAAATTTAGGTTTGAAGTAATCTCTATTCTGAAAGAGATGGGGCAGGGAAAGTTTTTGAGGTCAAAAGGAAAATGTAACAATACTGATGTAACTGCAGCCTGGTCCCTTCTCTTCCATTTTCATACCATAAGGTTTAGATGAATGGCACGTTGAAAGCCAGATAAAACACCTATTTGCAAAAGAAAGTGTTTTAAAGATGTGAAAGCTTATCCCACATTCAGTACAGTTTGATATGAAATTAAGACAGTGTAAAATCACTGACCTTCAGAAGATAACTGTATTCTGCTCTCAATGTTGCTGACAAAGTAACTTGGAGCTTGCTGCAAAAGAAGATATATCTTTATTAATAATGCATACTCATATTTGCAGGGAAAAAAGTACAGTTCACCACAGAAAAATGGTCACAATTTCCCAAAGAAGCACATTTCAAAGTATCACCTTCAAGACCCAAAACCCAACTCTTCTGGATGTATTTTTCTTTTCCAAATCCCAGGTACATCACCAGTTCTGCTCAGTTCACTGACACAGGACCATGCAGGTGTCATTTTAAACTAACTGCTCAAACTGGACATTTGTGAGATACTTGTGATAACCAAAAGTAGGAAGAAGTTCAATAAATAGTGTACATTGCAAATTAACAGGCATGACATAAGTCCATTTTACTTCTATTCACTTTCATGCTGAGCCCCTACAGTGCTCTCCTGAGTAATCCTGCACTGAATCCAGCAGTGCTGCCCTGCAGTCTCCCTGCCTGTGGGACCCATCCCACACCTTCAAGAAGTTCTGGGGATCCTTGGAGCCACCGTGTTTTTAAGCACAGATGTCCTTCCTGTGAGCTCACTGCACAGAGCAGCAGCACTTCTGTGGCCATCACTGGTTTGAGCTGGGAGAGGTCAACAACAAGCTGAGAGCCAGGAGCTCGTTTCATGCTTGTACCACTCATTTCCTACTTTGTCTGCCAACCATGGTCTCTACAAACCAGAAAACAACAACCTGGATGTGTAGGGGAGAAATAACTGTTCTTTCCACCCTGCTGACAGTGTTGGTTCTGGCTGGCTTGTTTTCATATGCCTGCAGACTGCTGACATGGAAAGCACCTGGTACAACACAGAGCAAAATTTCCAGCCAGGTGTCCTGCCTGCTTGTGCCCTGAAACCGTGGTGCAGCCTGAATACTGGCCTGCCTTGGTCTATGACAAAGTGAGAGCCAGCCCTGGGAGCTTCTCTCTGGTAGCAGTGTTGGAACATAATGTGAGTTTATATGTAGCAGCCCTACTGCTCAGCTGAATTCAGCTGTGAGCACACAGGGACTGGTGAGTGCAGCTGGTGCATAAATGGCAGCAGACTTAAATGTCTCCTGTGCATCCAGTTTAAAAACTGTAGGATGGAGTAGGAAAATTTAAGAAAGAAATACACCAGAGAAGAGGTTCTCAGCATTATTCCAACTTCAAGACACAAATAGGTTAAATATGACCATTTTTGGGAGGTAGCACTATGTTCTGTTTAGCCACAGTTAAAAACTTTGCTTGGGGAAAACACCTGCTCCTACTTCACTTCTTGTGGGTGGGTTACACAACTTTTTTATTTCAGGCTCTCCTGGAGGTCCTGGCAGTGGTGAGCACTGAACCAGCCACTCTCCTCTGCCACCCCTGACCCAGCTCCTCTCACATGGGGACAGACAAAAGTGCCACTGCTGCAGCACTCCTGGTTCAAAGCACTGAGGGAGGCTGTGGGGGCCAAACACATAAAAACCAGCAGCAGCATGGTTTCTTATTAACCCGAATTTCAAAGCAGTCCAAGCCAAGCCCTGCTGTGCTCTTGAGGCTTATCTTTAAGTGAAGGGCAGGTTGTCTAATCCTGTGCCAAACCCACCCTTTTCAGGGCAAGACAGGTCAAGCACCTCCTAAAGGTTACATGATTCTCCTTAGCACTGCTGCAAGCTGGGGCTTTCATGGGTACTTGAATCCCCAGCCTTTCTCTAAGGATTCTTGGAACACCAAAATGCTCCCCTTGATGCAGGAAGCACACATTTAAAGCAAATACTCATGGTCTGAACCGAGCCTTTGTTTAAAAACAGCTCCTTCATTTTTTACCTCACTTTTCCTCTGTAGCTTTTAGAAAACTTTTTGCCATAAACTAAAATTAAGAGGATTATTAATTGAAATATTGTCTCTGTTCAAGAATTAACGACTCACATGTGGTATAATTTGCTGTTCCCTCTTGACTGTCTATGAAAATTACTAAGCATTTGTACTTTTCTTAATTATCTCTAATTTGAGCTTGGAGCCAGGCTGTAAGATTGACACTTTGGCTTGATTAATTGAAAGGCTTGGATCAGCAGTGATGGCCAGATGCAGCTCTGGAGCTCCAGGACATGGCCTTGATGCACATTACACTCATCAGAATTTGATGGGATCCAACCCTGTATTCCTCCCTGCCCATTAATCACTTTATACACAATATTAACTTCTGTCTTTAGCCCTGCTGGCATCACCACCCAGCCCTTACAGCCTCCAAAAAATGTGTGAATTCCTGAGGAAGCAAGAGGATGGCTGCACTCAGGGATTTTCTCCTGTGGCTATAACAGCTGTGGCACTCTTGGTATCTTGTGTTAAAGCCTCACCCACATGCAACGTGGTCCCAGTGGGACCATGGTATCAACAGACACAATGTCAAAAGGAAAGCTCATTTTCCCACTGTGCAAGCAGGACCTCCCATCTTGTCCAAGTTTCTGTGCCTATTTGGAGGTCTCCCAGGTGTGGTGCATTTCAAATTGCATACTTACAATTTTGTTGTTGGAGTTCACTTGTTTGGAATTTTCCACTCAGAAATTACATGAAATGAGGCTCCTTCAGCTGTGGATGTGTCGTGGCTCCTGGGCACTTCAAACTGCACAGGCTGTCCTTTAAATTTAACAACCCCAGCTGGCTTTTATGGGAAGCAAATGACTAAGAGCAGCTTGAGAGTGAGTCAGAGCTCCGGGCACACACACCTTGTTCCTGCACAGGGACTCCAGTCCCAAACCCTTTCCCTCTGTACCACTCCAATGCAAACAGCAGACCTGACACTTAACTGTGTAAAAAAGAGACTCAGATTTTGCTTGAGGCTATTTGTAGACTTTGTGTTGCTTGATGGGGAGCTTTAACACTGCTCTCTAGCACTTTCTGTCCAAGGATGGCAAGGCACCATGCTTACCCTTCACTGCAGGTATGAACCTTTCCAAACTTAAAGTTCAAACAAACAAGACCTGCTTTGAGCAGGATGTTGGACCAGGTGGTCTCCAAAGGCCTTTTTTAACCTGAACTAATCTGTGGTTCTACCCCTTTAGTAAGGACAGGAGTAATAGTGCCTTATATACAGGTGGAAAACAAGCATGGAGAGAGATGAAATGGGTCAAAGGGAATCTAAGTTTTAGCTTCCCTCTACATGCAACAATTACCTTTACAAAGGTGAAGTTCACAAATCCTCCACTGAAAGTTAAGTTCAGCTGAGACTGCACCATCCCACAGCTTCCAGATGTCTGTGTCGCATTGGGGTTGACAATCACAGACTCCATCTGCTCCTGTAGAGAGAAGAGACATTGCAGGGCTGCTGATGGAGAGAAGGGGAACTTTGTAGGAACACACAGAGATTTTTATCTGCTTTGTTTTTTCCCCCCCGACAGGCTCTGTGTGGCTGAATGAACAGGCCAGTGATGGTGGCAGCTGAATTGCTGCCTGCCGGGGTCATTCCCCACTCGTGAACCAGCACTGGTGGTTGTCTGACACATGAGCTGTGAAAATATGAAAATATTTGGTTTCTGTTCATCCAGTGGACTGATACGATTCAGAGCAGTGTCAGATGAGTACAAATGGTAATTTATAAGGAGGGAGCAGTGGAAACTTGTGCCTGAAGGCAGAGGAAAGATGAAGACAGAAGCAGGCAGGGGTTAGTTTGGCTTCATGCTTTGCTCCACATATCACCCCGACCTCCTCATTAGGTCCTGCACATCATCTTTAGCATCTAACAACCCATACTGCAGTCTGAAAGGAGAACTCTGCAGCCCTGAATGGAGCTTTGCTCTTTCAGTCTCATCTCAAACACACCTTATGTTATTATAAACATGTCACTGTGGTCTGCTGAGATTAGGAATCATGCTCCCTACCTGGCTTCTGCCAGGATGAGGGATGAAATTTACTTTTACTGACATTAGATACTCATCTCACCTTAGAAATATCCAGACTCCAAACAAGAATATTTGGATTTGTAATGGGGATGGCTCAAGGCATATGAACTCCAGAGCCTGAGGATGTAACCCCACATATTGTATTAATGGAGGCTACAAAACCACAAGTCTGAGGGACATAATCACCATTTCAGGTTGTATGACACCTTTTGCTGAATCATTCTCAGTGCATCATTTCTAGGAGAGGCTACCAGCTCCCCAGGACCCGGAAGTTTCTGTGTTCCTAAAATCTCAATGCATCAGCATCAAGACAACCCAATTCTGATTCCCAGTCTGGGAACTGGCAATTTCTTGCTTTCATTATAACTCACAATGTCAAGCCCTTCACTAAAGTCAGTTCAGATTTTAACTAGTCTCCCATTCTAAGAAACACAAATAATGTTTCAGGCTGATCTACTGCTCTAGGATTGGTTCCACATCACTGAAATCAGAAAGCACATGTATGTCCCCCTGGCATCATCATACAAAACAAATTTCAGCAGCTGAGATGCTGTGGCACGTGAAGGGCTTTACTGGCAGCAAGCCACTTATTTTAATCATAGAACTAACTTCTGAAAATGCCTTGGAAAGAAGAATAAATTCCAGCTAATGAAGAAACAGTCATTACAAAGCTCAGCTCCCATCTCACCTTTTGTGTATTTTGACCCATCAGTTGCAGACCCATGACTGCTTTGATGCAGGTCCTGTTCCCACTGGAAATGGTGTATGTGCCAGTGGGGATGGGAGAAGGTCGTGGGGCAGGAGTGGGTCTCACTGTCACCACAGTAGATGGGATGGCTGTTTGTGTCCCTGGACGGGCGGTTGTTGTGCTGGTCATGGCTGTGGCTGTTGAGTTTCTGGTCGCTGTTGTTTGTTTTCCTGACTGTGTGGTGGCTTTGGCCGTCTGCATGGTGGCTGTAGAGGTGGTGGCAGCAGCTGTCACTTGAGTATTTGCTGTTGTGTGGTTTAGGGATGCGTTGGTGGCTGTCATTGCAGTGCTCACGTGTGTGGAGGACACAGAAGGGGTGGTTGTGTTCTTCCCTGCAGGTGTGACCCTGTGCATGGGCTGGGTTGTGGCCTGGCCAGCTGCACTGGTGTTGTCTGCTGGTGTCATGGTGGTGATGGGTGTTCCAGCTCCTGCCTGGGCTGTCGTGTGCTGGCCTAGAGCTGCTGTTTCCTGGTGCTGCTCTGTTGTCTGCACAGTTGTTCTGTGGCTCGTGGGTGTTGTTTCAAGAGAGACTGTGCTGTTAAAGTGAACTGTGGTGCTTTGATGGGGTGAGGAATGATAAAGGGAAAGTGGCTGAGCAGAAGTAGCCATATGGTGTAAGGACGTGGTTTCTGGAGACAGTTCAACCCTCGAGGCCACTTCAGCAAGGCAGGAGGAAAATGCTGCAAAGAAACTAAAGTCAGTAGTCTGGAAACCTTTACCTTTAACACTTCTGTTGATCCCCACAACAAAACTGCACTGTTTTGTTATCAAATGGGTGTTGTGACATGATTTTATTCTTCATTTGGCTCCAGTCATGACAAGAGAGTGAAGGCAGACAGCCTGTAAGACTATCCATAACTTGTCACCACTCCCCCAAGTTTCACACCTCTGAATATACCCATTGCAGTGGCAGCACATTGGCTCCCAGCTCTCCACACACTGAAGAAGCCAGAGGACACCAGAGGTGTGAGCAGACCGTGCACAATCCTCAGGCAGCACAAGAGTTCCCTGCAGGCAGTAGTACAGCAGGATTCACTGGAAGTAAATTATTGAGGTCTAAGGAAGATGAAGAGGGTGTAACAGGCAAAGGGGCTGTTGGTTACTTACCAACAAAGTAAAGGGAGAGGGAACGTGTGTGTGAAGGCAGAGCAATGGTCTTAAAGTGATTCCCAATAGTCTGGGAAACCAGTCTGGGACACAGGGAAATTCCAGATATTTATTTATGGTTTTGTTGTAGCCATGTCAGCTTGAACCCTGAAGCCCTTCCTCCTGGAAGAACCCACAGAAACACCATCCCTCCTAGTGATGGGCTTTCAGCAATGAGGAACAATTTCAGGGTACAGCATCCAGGGGCATTTTGGACCACACTAGAAAATAGTCACAGCACTAAAATTACACTTCCATCTAATAACATTTATAGAAAAATGTCCCTTGCTGAAGTGAAAAAAAAAAAAAATCTGGTTCCTAAATATAAATAAGGAAGTGAACAAAAAATGGGAAAGTACATTGTAGAATAGAAGAATGTCACAACTCTTCTGCTTGAATCTTTGATTGTGAGCATGCAACAAGACTCTGGAAAGGCAAGGTCAAGCTAAAAGAAAACATAACTCAATGACATGTTCCTTGATGTGCATGGAGCTTCAGCTGTTGTTAAATGCTTTACTGCCTAAATTAGCTGGAGGACAGAGATGCATTCTAGTTTGGAGACCGAAGGGACCCAGAAGTCCAAGACAGGCCATATTCCTGGCAGTACAGCTCCACAGGATGCCACAGCATGTTGTCTGAGTTTATTGTACACTGGTTCTTTCAAAGAAACTTCTCATGAACTTCAAAGAAACTTCTCATGAACTGGTGGCAAAGTTTGTGGCAGGCAGGTTGCTGAGATTTGGCTTTTGAAATAGGTTAAGGCCAAAAGCACATTTGGAGTGAAAATTGCTGAAATCTCAAAGGTTCTTCCTTTTATTTATTTTCATTCATCATGAAGAACAGAGGTCTTCAATAATAGGTGAATTCACAAAATCTCACCATTTTAGGAGAGATATAAACTAAATAAGAATAATAAACCCTATTGGGTTTTGAATCGAATTTAAGACAAAAATCAAAGAAACAAGAGCAGATGTATAGGTCTTAACCCACACTACAATTTTCCCTTAAAAATGACTATGACTGAGAAGAGCAGAAGTGCATATACTCATATTCCTAAAACTTGTGCTGTACAGGATACACTTGACTGTGAGTGTAGCTTGTTACTATCAAAGAATGCAATTTGAGACAGTTGAAAAACCTCAAAAAATATTGTGATTTTTATCAAAATGAACATAAAAATGCGTAATAATTATGATACTTTAGTTCATTTTCTCACTTTCCTCTAGACTTTACCACAGAGCTGAAAAGCAGATAACTGATTTCCTCTGTGTGCCAGTGGAAAGTCAGAGCAGTTGCCATAAACCAACTCTGGGTAGGTGCATCTGAGTGTATCAGCATGATAAAAACAAGAAAGAAGAAGTTGCAATTTTCACTCTTTCTTCCCCATAAGACTGTGAAACAACCCATATTTAAATTTACACAAGTCTTAAATAAAGTCAGTACTTATTAGTTGTTAGTTCATAGGTTGGTTTTGATTACTGACCAGATAACACTTTACAGATGTGGAGAGAAATATTATTTAACTGACATTGGAATACCACCCATAGCTTTTAAATGAAACTTTGTTATCCCCAAAAGGTAATTTCAACCAAACAATTTTTCATTATTCAGCCTGACAGGGTCACTGAGGGGTAAAGCCAGAAATGTCTTTGGGGTGGCCCGTGGCTCTTGCTCAGTGGGTGACCTACCAGACCACTCCTCCGGGCTCTCCCAAGTATTTTGGAGTTTCTGTCAGTGCATGGCCATGCTGCTAAACCCCTTGGCTTGGACTGTCTTCTCAGAAGGCATTTGGCCATGGGAGCTCCCAGGGATGGGTAAGGATTGCTCTCCGTTTGCACCTCATGGTCTTGGCTCTTTTCTGGTGGCTGTTGGAGGTAGGTCAGTAGCTCTGCTGTGTGAGGGGGAGGTGGGCACATGGGGTCCTTGACCTGCCCTCCAGCTAAGGCCAGGAAGGCTTCCCTGTGTCTCCCTCAGCACTACCACGTTCCTCTTGGGGAGCTTGCACAGCTCGGCAAAGGAGCCGCCTGCAGAGCTCTCACCACCACAGCCTCTCCCATGGCTCTGCCACAAAATGGGAACAGAACAAATGCTGCAGAACAACAAGAAATGGCAGCTCTGCACCCCACCTGCCCCCCTGCTAGTCTTCTTTTTTTTTCCTCCCATGAAGCCAACTCAAAACTTCATACAAGCAACATTTTGAGGGCTGCAAGAGTCCAGGGGTGTATCTTCCTTAAGAAAGCAGCTGCAATCCCTCATCTTACTTCAGCATCAAAGCTGTATGTCACACATGCTGAGGGCTGTGTTTGAGTCCAGGCAGCCTCCATGCAAAGCTCCTGAACAAAACTCTCAGAAACCTATCAGGGCAGGTCTCAGAAATTCACTGTTCCCAGTCTGAGCCTGGAGATCCCGTTTTCATGCTTTGGTGACACGTTTCAGTCATAAGGAATGTCACCACTCTGCTCCCAGGCATTATGGTGGGAAGGGCAGTGCTCAATGATTTGGCTGTGACATTTCTCAGCTTGCCATCTTGCAACAGGGTGGGTGATAGAAACTCTTACTGAGGATTTTTTCCCCTTTTCATCTAACCACACTCATGCTGTTCAGCTGCCCAGTGGGTTTGTTCCGCTTTCTGCTGCCAGAAGAAATGCTCATGTTTAGCTGACTGATTCCATGTGGACACAAAACCTGACCCAGCTCCTGTAATCACTGAAAACACTTTCACTGTCTCTGGCTGCTTTGGTTTGCTTTGAGGAATTGGAAAAGCACCAAGATTTTCTGAGAGGTTTCAGTACTGTCATAGCTTCCCACCCATCTGACCTTTATTCCTTAAACTCTAATTATGTTTAATTCCCTGTCTGCACAGGAAGACTTGGCTTTGGGACTTTAATAAAACATCACAACAAATCATTAAAGGAAAGATAAAAAATGGATAAGGAGTTGAGGAAACAAGTTCTTTCTGGTCAAAAGTGGTTGCTGACCACTGAGTTATTAGTGTTACTTCTCAGTCTGATCTTGCCCTCCTTTCATATATATGTTTTGGGGCTACTTCAGCAGACTCTGGCTATGAAGCAGGCATGGGAATGCAGAGAGATACAGCAAGAGCTGCTCATGGTCAAGTCCCTGGGCAGTTTCCCCGTTCGTGCACTGGGAGGAGGACGGGGGTTGTTACTGGTGTGATCCCTGTGTGCCGACGGCAAAACCCACACAGAAGTGCAGTGTCCCAACAGTGAGCTCAAACCCCCTCAGCCATTACACAGATTAAATCACGCTCTGTCCTTCTTCACAGGGCAAATTTTGTACTACTGCAGGCGTTGAGGGGTGACTTCAAGCACTGGGAGATGTCTTTGATCTGGCTGGCTCCACAGATTTTCACAGAGCAGCATTAAGGGTCAAACAGTGACTGATGTGGTTTGTCATTAAGTTAAACCCCAGCCTGTGGGCTCTCCAAGCCCCCTGCCTCACTCCTGCTTTCCTGATCCTGCTTCTGCATCTTGCAATGCAAATGAATTAATGACTAGAGCAATGCTTCCTAAGTTTTTTCTTTCCTTCTTGTCTCACTCAAGATTTTCAGTCAGTTCTGCTGGTCTGGAAACTATTTTTAATTAAGAAAAGCAAGGCCAAAAAAGTCTGCTTCTCACACTACTTTAAGCTGACTCCTTCACAGAGAGTTTATGTCACCACAGAGTGCAAGGAAAAATACAGAGGAAAACATCCAACTAAATCTATACCAGCTGCAATTCACTGTAGTTATGGTTATTTCTTAGCAGTGAGACTTCACTAAAAGCACCCTTAGTGCTAGCAACAAAACTGTTCAAAGTTTTCAGTCTTTTAGGTGCTGTCCTGACTGCCAGGAAACCGAACTGGCATAATCTGTCTGATTTCTCAGATAGAAATGGAGATGTTACTCACCACAGCCGAAGGTCAGCAGGATGAGCTGCCGTACACTCCTCCCCATGGCCAGCACGGCTGCAGGTGGGAGAGATGCTGCTTCTCACCGTGGAGCAGGTGGAGAGAAAATCAAGATTTCCTGGGGACTGAAAAGTTTCGCTTGATGCAGGGAGTGCTCAGTCACATGGCTGGGAAGGAGGTGGAGAGGGAGGGGAAGGCCAGTGCTTCTTGTCTGTAAACTACCACAGAAGGAAATAAATGATGGTTAGGAAAGAAATCGAAAACAGAAGTGAGTGCTGGGCTGGCTGGGGGGGATACAGGCTCACACTCTGCAGCTGAGACGTGAGGCTCTGCAAGGCCAGGTCAAAAGATCCCTCCAGTTCTGATAACCTGGTGCAGACTGCACCGGCAGAGGGTCACAGCTTGTAAATCAGTACCTCCCCTGTACTCTTTAAAAAAGTATTTTTCTTTAGGGCCACACTCCTTTTATGTTAAGGCACAGAAGGGAGAGGTGTGACCTCAAGCCGTCTCCACAGAGCACCTGCTAAGAGCGAGACAGGGCAGAGCAGAGCCCCAGATGGGCTCTTGTCTCAGGTGGGGACCGTCAGCAGCCTTTGCTGGCTCCAAGGCCTGGGCTCGTGGAAGGTGGATCAGCTGGGCTCACCCTTAGTGATGTATCCAAACACACTCCTCAGCAAATGGCAACACCTCACCTCTGTCCCACGAAGTGCCTCCTGCAGACCACGCCAGGCTGGGGCAGGAGCTGCACGGGCAGGTCCCGGCCTGCCGAGCCGCACACCAGGGATCTGCAACAGGAGAGCTGCATTCCCAGCCCTAGGCTCCTGCCATGGGGACTGCTGGGTGGGGGGGACAAAGGCATCTGCTGTGCTCCTAATTTCTCTTTTTCTTGTACCAATACTGCACTGCAATAGCATGATAGGGTCAATGACTTGAAAATTCAAGTGAGGTGAAGTTTGCTTCCAGAAATCTGGAAGCTGGCTGAAATTAGTCCCAGTTTATTTTGCTCAATTTGCATTCTTCTTTTTGCCCTTCTGCATGATCCACAGCATGTGTTTGGGTCAATTACTGCTCCCTAATAAACACTGGTAGCCAAAGGTATGCAGATATCTCGGGGGTAACTATAATAAAGCCATCCTACAACTTCCTCTGAGCTATGTAAACTTACCCAAAAAGTCCTAGGGATTCAGGAACATGACTGAAGGAGATGGGTAAAGGGGAAAAAAAACAAAGACTGTGCCTTTTGTGACGTGTGTTGGGCAAATTAAAGTTATAGTGAACAGGTATGAGGATTTTTTCAGCTGTGATGGTGTGCCTTTACTAATATGCATTTATTTTGAATAGGAAAAACCTCATTTGATTTGTTGCTTCATATAGAGACATCAACCACAGGGTTTTGTACTAGTTATAATTTTTATAAATTTCAAACAAAGTGTGGTTCTACACAGGTCAGAATGGCCTAATTACAGGAAGTTCATTTGCACACTTTTTTCTTGTAATAAATTCATACATTCTGTCTTGACTGGAAAAGAGGACAGGTAATTCTGTGCTCTTTCCCTGTCTGATTATCTCTCATCAGTCACGATATACAAATACATCATTATCAACACCATGGAAATCATGTAAGAAAAACAAACTGTACCAATTCTCAGCTGGGGAGAGGAAATCTTAGCAGCTATTTCAGCTCCAGCTGCAAGAAGAAATACACATTTTGGCTCTTTTTTCTTCTTATTTTTATATATTTCTAATCATATATATATTTGAAGTCTTTGAGTATATTTTTGGAAAGGAAGCACATGGCCTTTCTCATACCCAATCCTGTTTGAAATATCAAGAGTCTAAGAAAATCATAGATAATAAAATGGCTTTTCATAAGACACACACACACACACAGCTTTGCTGTCACTGGCAAGAAGAGCCGGAGCTCAGACGTGGTGGTTTGGCTGCAGCTGTTTATGATCAAGACAACGACCATTGGTGTGATTCTCCATCCTGTGGGGCTCGAGGTGAGAGGAGAGGATGAGCCCTGATTAAATGTTAACCTGGTTTACTAAAATCAAGACTTGTGTGTCATGGCAACTGCCCGGCTCTTTGCCGCTGGTGAGGAAGGACTGTGCTGCCCACCTGCAGCTGCCTGAGCAGAGGGCAGTTCTGAGGATGTGAAGTTCCTGCAAGTTTCACAGAAGAGCAGCAGAGCAGAGGGGACCCTGAGCCCGGAGGGCAGGGCTCACCAGCACAGCCCCAGAGCAGAGCAGGCAGCTGGCACGGACTCACTGGTCCAGCAGCAAGGGCACTGCTCAGCCACAAGTGCTGCTACAGCCCAGATTTACCTGGGATCTTGTGTCTTCTACAACCAAAACTTAGTGGCAGCTGTTACTTTTAAATTACTTTCTGGTCACTATATAATCTCCAAACAACACTGAAATGAAATCTGTATTTGAAAACTATGATTTTTAGGTGTGTCTACCTGAAAAGGATAGTGTCAAAGGCCTACATACAAAGTGTACCTTAACATAGGCATTAGTCTTGCTGGACATTACCAAATCATAATCTAGACTGTACATGGAAAGCCATTCCCTTAATTATCACCTTGCTTGACAGAAATACACTAATTAAAAGACTATCCTGTCTACCCTTTAAAAACAAAACAAAACAAAAAGTCATCAAACCCCATTTTGTCTCATCAGCAAAGCCAGAGAGTTACTTTTTATGGGCTGCTCCTGGACTTGTCAGCAGCCTGATCTGCCCCTGAACTTTGTTCTTTCTCGAATCAAACCCTGTCTCCCTGACAGAGGGCCTGGTCACTGCCCAGCAGCAGCTGCCAGGGCTGCTGTGTGCTCTGGGTTTGGAACGTGGAGACAGAAACAAGGAGCTGCCTCTGGCTCACCGGCACTGCTGGAGGGTTAAAGACACAATTAATAGTTGTGGGCTCCCTGCTCAGGTTCAGTGTGTCTGAGTAGCTGTGGCACAGTCAGCTCCCAAGGAGCAGAGTGCTGTGCCACTGCTGAGTAGCAGTGGGGCAGAGAGTTACCTGTCATCTTCAGGACACTTGTGGAGCAGGAGTGACTCAAACTTTGGTCTAGCAGGATAAAACATTTTTTTAGGGGAAAAAAAAAATGTTTTCAAAAGCAAAGTAGGGAGGAGAATTGTGATAATCCAGCCCATACCTTTGCAGTTGTCACAATGAGATGGTGAGCTGGGAGAGGAGACATTTCGTCAGCAATCCTCTTCCCTGCTCCAGCTCTAGGCTGCTCCACAGGGTGCTGCCACTGGCACTCATGGAGGGCACAGTGGGACATATGGGGTTCAAAACTTCACTTTCCCCTGAAGGGTCCCCAGTTTTTGCATACATGGTAAAATTTAGCATCATAATTCAACAGGAGGGAAATTCAATAGCTCCCATTTTACAGGAGGGTATTGCAGGGATATAGGGGATATAGGACTTGCACACTGTCACCCTGCTCACAGCAGAGGTAGGAAAGGGACTGGCAGTATCTGATTTCTCATCCTCAGATCAAACAGAGACTTCCCACTGCCATTTCACCATAAGAATGAGATTCCTCAAAAAGAAAACTCCAAAGTGCAGGTTTTCATCATTCCATCTCTCAGCAATGCCACAAATCTTCATTTTGGCAGTTTCATATACCCAGGATAACCCTTCCCCATCTCTCTCTCCCTCACACAAAAGCTTACTGTACTTATTAACATGCAATCAATGCTCCCTACCCTTCCCTCTCCTATGCTTAGGGCAGGAGTAGACAGCAGCACTGCAAAAATTACTGAAACCAGAATGGACTCATTTTAGGGAGAGGATAAAGGAATTGCACTACAAGAAAACATCACCACATGTTTCATTCCTGAAAGGAATGAATTCTTCCCTTAAGATGCTGAGAACTACTGTAGACCAAGAGGATTCATGTTCCTGAGAGCCTATGTGTCATTTCTGAGGTAAATGACCAGCACAAAACAGGTAAGCTCCACTCTCTATAGGACAAAATCATTTTCCAAAAAGATACAGAACTCTCAGGTCCTTTAGTCGTGAACGGAAAATGTCCAAAATCACAGGGATCAGATATGGAGGGTTAGAAGAGCCATGGGAATTAATCACCACAGTGCAAATCATAATCAAGCAATGGTTTCACAGGCAAAAAAAATCTGAATAAGCCTTTACCTACTCGAATGGGACTATCTACCTGTGTCACAGCTATCCTGACACACACACTAAGATATTTGCAACACCAGCCTCCACTGAGACAAAAAGAAAAACATTCAGGTCCCTGCAAAGGTGATAGCAGAGGTGAGACAGACACCTACTGTTTTGCTCAGAGCCTTAGTTAGTAAAGAGTGGGTTTTGGTTTTGCTTCATCTCCATTTTTAGTGCTTTCGTCCCCTTTGTTATTTACATAAAGCACCACTGAGGGTTCAACAAAACATCCCTAAGAGTGAAAGCCACTCACTCACTCTTGAGCTTCTTCTAGGGTCATTTTTACCAGATTGATCTTTGCCTGTTTGCAAACCTAGTCAATACTTATCTTTACTATAGTATTAGCAGCTTTTGTGGGACCTAAGACCCAATTACCATCAAAATGCCTTCATGCCTTAACAGCTGCTCTAAATGAGCTAATGGCTTGTATAGGAATAATAACATCTCTAATCACTTTATATTATACATTACATCCTTATGTGGCAGAGATTTGGTACAGTCCTTTAATCAAATGTCCTGGAAAGAAGTATTTAACAACAACACTTTATCCACTCTAATGCTCACTGCCTATTTGCAATGCTTAAGTATATTCCAAATGGGGGGTGAAATGTATCTACTCATAGCCCAGCACACAAGGAAAGCATGCAGTCTACTCAAACATGTGACAGTAAATGGCATTCAATTGAATTCTTGGCACCAAATGCAAAGAGTTGTGATCCAGCAACCAGGACTGCAGAGGGGGCAGAGGAATGACTTAGATTGTAAAAACAGTTCAAAATGTTCTTTGTCACAGTAGCTGTTACACATCTTTACTTCCCTGCTAAGCCCTGCACCTCCGTGTCATAGCCAGGAGCTGCCACCTGCATCATTCCAAGCTGTGGGATGCTGTGTGCAGCAGTGCCATCGCGAGGGAGTCACGTCACTGCTGCGCGGAGCCTCTCTGATGGTCCCAGTCAGAAGGTTCCTTTCCCCAGCCACCCTAAAATTGGATGTTTTTGGTGTTGACCATAGCAAAAAGGGCACGTTTGTGATGACATATCAGCTGGAATTAAGGAGGACAGGGAAGGCACAGCCAGAGGCAAGCAAATGGAAAAACGTCCAGGTGAGCAAGAACTCGTAACCATCCCGTGCCCCGTGCAGTGACGTGTGGTCAAGCAAAGTTGCCAAAAGGTGCGTGCATAGAAACTCCTCAGCTCTGCTGTCGACCTAATTTAGGCCACATCTTCTGAAACTGATAACCAATGCAAGAAGCATTTTTCTCCTCTAACACTGAAGGTAGGTTTGATGTTTTCTGGATGTTTAATGCTCCTTTCAAGTTTGTTTTTTCCAGCTTGCCAGGTGGACAGCACAGTTCTCATCTGTTCATGGTGATAAAGTTTTAGTGAATTGTGAACCTCAGAGCTTGTGAGAAAGGCAACTTTGATCCAGTGTCCACCCAAAATAAAGACAGATGGATGGGGTCCTGAGGAAGGCTGGTCCTGCTGTTCAGCTGCCAGCCCTCTGTTCTGCTGGGAAGCTTTTGGCCACCTCACTTTCCTTCGTGTCTGACTCTACTGAGGCTGTACTGCAGGAATCGTTGTACATGTCTGAAAAGGAGGACATGGGCATTGTCACTACAATATGTCTATAGGATTTTCCATCTACAGTCTTGAGGTTCTTTGTTAAAAGCCTGAAATAAAATAAAACACAAATAATCACAATTCCACTGTTCTCCTATTTCCTTCACTAAAGGCAAGGGAGGCTCTTTTGGCATATAATGAACTGTAATGTGTATGTGGTTTTGTTTTTCTTTTGAAGCATTAGACATGCCAAAGAAATGAGAGCTATAGTTGGGCACTGAGGGTGAAGACAGAACTGACCTGCTGTGGAGGTGAAGGAGCAGCACTAAACTCCCCTTAAACCACAGCAAAGAATCCTGAGGTTTGAAAAGGTTTCCTCCACTTTAACAAACTGACCAAAGGAAAAAAAATCCAGAGAGACCAGTAACTCAGAATAAAGTGCTGGTAACTCTCTTTCACAGGTCCCCAGGGAATGGGTCTGCCAGATTTTGTTGTCCTCTGTTACCAGAAGACAAGCAGGACACATTTTGGTAAATTATATTTAAGGATGGGCAAAAATTAGTCTAAAATTTTAAACCTTTGATGTGCAGAGTTGCTGAGATTCAGCTTTTCCAGTGCAACCTGTTTGGGTGTTAGGTCAGAACCAAAGCTGAAGAAAGGATGACTTTTAGTGCTGATTTGGCTGAAATTGTGCCAGAGCAGCCTTTCCTCCAGCTTTTGGAGACAGCTGTGAAATATGATGAAAGCAGTAATGGGCCATGAAATCTTAATGTTTTCAAACCTAGGCCAGAACCACAGCCCTGATGCTGATCTCCATCCAAAACGCTATCCATGTCAGGATCAAAGCTATCCTGCAGGCACACCCCACCATATGACACACTTGGGCTGGCTGTAAAGGACTGGTAGCCACATAAGTTTGGTGGGAGATTCAAGTTCTGCCCAGGGAGGGGTAAACAATTAAAGCATGCCAAAGAAAGCTGCTGTGCCTTAACTAGTTCTGACACCCAGGCACCAAATTTCAGGCTGTCTCAGCCACATCACCAGAGACTGCAACACACACTCACTCAGGTGAGTCCTTTAAAACAAAAAGTGCACTTTTTTATCACATCTTTTTTTATCACATCCTTTTTCAGTATGGAAATAAAAAATAAATGCCAGTAACACATTTTCTTTATTACCTGCATTGCTGTTCTTAATTATGTTGTTACTGTCCCCCTCTGCTGGCTGCAATATACTGGAAGGAACCCAGTCACTTTTCTCAGAGACCAGTTTCTTCACTAACCTGAAACTCAAAGAACAGTCAGTGAATTTTCCTACATTCCCTTTCCCTGGGTTGTGTTTCTTAGAGGTGCATGTTGGCAGCTATTTCCTAAACTGAAGAAGAAGGCAGAGGACCCAAGGCAGGTCCTGGTGACTAAGTTTCTTCAGTCTCTGATGGTGACCCAGAATCCCAGATCACTTTCAAGCAGACTGTGTGACACAGAGGCAGAGCCTTGGCCTGTGTTTGAGACACTGACCTTGGGCTTGGAAGTGCAGGGTTAATGGGTGGACTCCATGGAGATTTTTTCCAGCCTAAATGATTCTATGATTCTAAATTCAAAGCTAAAGAAAATTAATATATCATATCATCCATCCCCCTTGCTGTAAATACCAGGGAGGATGGGTTTAGTTCGCTTCCCAACTACTTCACCCTATGGAACTTGCTCCCTTCTCAGCTGCATGTCAGTTCTGAGTGAAGGGTCTGACTGCACAGGTACTTCAAAGAGATCAGATCTTCTTCCTCCAAACTGCCCATGCAGGGAGAATTCAGATGTGCAGGCAGGTCTGGGCACTAACACTTATTAGCTCCTAACACTCACTTTGCAGTAAGAGAGAATAAATGCACCAAAACATATGTGAGCTCAGGGGAGGCCAGACTCATTCCCCTTTGTCAGTCACATCTTGTATCAAAACCTTCCAGGCTAAAAATGCTCTCAGTGGAAGGCATGGGGATTTTACAGATGTATCCTATAGGGGGGTGCTGCCTTTGACAGTGCCCTTCTGCCTAGAAAGTGTCAAAACTCTGGATAATCCCCTCCATTTCCTTTATACAAACTTCTGTCCTCGTAAGCCTCCTGTCACAAGCATTTGGGATGAAAGCCAACCAGGTGGAATTAACCAAAGCTGCTTGTGTGTTCATGCCTCCCACTGCCTCTTTCATGTTGTGGTTAATGGGGTGAGGGGATATGGATTGATTTTGAAGAGACTTTGACATTCTTCTGAATATTTTCCATCTTTTCCAGGAGTTCATGGCTGTTTTACCTGTCAGATCCTGTCTCTCTGCTGTACTTACCATTGACCGTTCTCTCCTTCCTGCACAAACTGCACCAAATCTCCATCCTCGAGAGTCAGAGAATCTGGGAAACAGCTGTCAAAGCTGCCTTCTACCCGAAAAAGATTGCTCCCCTAAAATGAATGAAACAAGGCACCAGAAAGAGAGTCACTATGGGTGCAAGAGAGAGTGAGTTTAGTTAAACACTAAATTAGGCATTTCAAGCTGGCAGAGATTTCTTCTGTAGGGAGTTGTGTATCTTCTTATTCCTTTTATCATGCCCAGGTTAAATATTATTCAAAATTATGACAGAACTGTGCTGTGCATTCAGGCTTTAGGATTAGCCAGCCAGCCATTATTCTGACATAAAAATTGGTTTTGTGACACCAGGTGAAGTTATGTGGGAAAGTCTGAAGTTACTTTTTTAAAGGCTCAGAGTTTTCCCTCACTTTTGTAAAAAGTAAAGCAACAGCTTACAAGTAAGAGTGACTTTTTTATGTTTCTCATTCTGATCAACCAAATAGTCTTGGAATAATCTCCCAATAACCCAGATCAAATTCCCATCTTCTGTATTCCCACATGTCTATGAATTTAAGGTTGGTATGAACCCAAACTTTGCAGGTTACATCATGATTCTTAGAGGGGAGGAGGTTGTGCTAGGAAAGGGCAGTGTAATTTGAAAAAGGAATTACATTGTTAGGGTTGGTCTCTTCCTCCAAGTCAGAGGAGTTCGAGAGTTCATCCATACTGGAAGGGATGGCTTCAAAATCTTCAAATGTGTCTAGAGAAGGCATTTGCCTGCTGGGCCAACCTTTTCAAAGGACATAAAAACCAAGAGAAGTTAGCTATCAGTCATTAGCCTCTTTCAGAATCAGTCTTTATAAAATAAATGTCACAGGTTCACTTCTCACTATTCTACTTACTGAATTGCTTGTACCTTTTTATAGCTTATTCCCTGATTCTGCCACAAAAATTGTGTCACAGCCATTATTTTGTCTCTAAAAACCTGTACCACTCGCTGTCATTAGTAGGAGGGCAGACTGTGTGGCCACAGTGTGCACATCCATCAATGCCTCCAATGTTTAGCATTGCAAAATCCCTTCATTTCAGGAGGTACAAAAAGCAAGGACCAGGAATATTTCTGCTGAGCCAGTGCTGGAGCAAATGATAACTGGTGCTGATGTGACTTTCAGAAGGCCACGCTCATTCCGTTTCCAGCTTACCTCCACATGTCTAGCTATAAATTGAAGTCCAAAGCCATGGAATTATTGTTGACTTCTTATCTCCATCTCACCCCAAGGGGATATTACCACCCAAGCAACTTACAGAACTATACCCTGGAGAACACTGGAATTGCAGGAAAGGGACAGGATAAACAGCAAGGCACAAAGAAAATCAGACCTTGGGGGTACGGAGGGAAGGTCTCATTGAAATTTCTGCTCCTAGGAGTCTTCTTGCATGATTTACACCCAGAACCACCCCAGCCCAGTGGAAGGGACTTAATGAGAGATTTCCAGCTCAAGCACAACAGCCCCAGTTTCTTTACCTACAAAGGTATGTCCATAGGATGTGCCCTGAGGGAAACTGAGGCTGAGCCCTGTAAGATCTGCCTGTCTGAGGCTCCCATGATGCAAAAGTAACTCAGACTCTTCTGTACAGAGAGAAATCGTGATCTGCACTTTTCTTCACTTGATGCCTGTCCCTTTTCTGGTGGGGATGGGAATGACTACAGTCCAGCTCAGAGGAAACAGACCTTTCATGTCCCAAAGATTTCTGCAGCCCTGACAGATACAAGCTGAACAGTCAGTCAAACCACCACGTGCTTCCTAATTAATGTACCTGCTCTGCATCAGCTGATTCAGAGTGACTTAGGCTGAGCAGATGCTGAACCAAATTCTTTACATCCTGTGGGCCACTGCTTGACAAGGCAAAGCAGTGCTCTGACTACAGTGCACAGAGATGTTCACATAGTGAGATTACATATCCCAGCACTCACAACCCACACCAAAACCTGGCCCGGGACAATACAAAACTAAGCCAGGTAGTTCAGGTAGCAAACAGAAAAGTGATCTGGGAGAAATAGGTTTATTAATTGATTTATTTAATCCCTCTCCATGCACATCCTCCCTGCTATAGGCACTGGTGCAACATGTGGTCATGCAGCTCTGCAGCCCCTTCTCCTCCCTCCTGTTTCCCAGGGGCTGTGACTGCTCCAACAACTGCAATCCAGTTAAAAGGATCACAGCAACCATCTTCCTCCAGAGCTGTGACCCCAACTATAACCTCACAGGTATGGTTTGGTCATCTGTACTTTTAAGGGTGTAAAGCAGCCTCTGAAGTGACACTATTCTCTATCACTTTATTCACACAAGCAAAATACTGGCAAGTGTCTAAACATACAAGAATATATTGATGCTAATTAACTTCAAATTGCTACAGCAATTTTAGTTCAAATTCACAGGTTGGGCTACAAATACCAAAAGAAAAAGATATCCCTCTTCCCCCTTAGACAAAGTTTCTGTAATCTTTTACCACTGTCATTTACAGAAAGCATCCAAGGCAGAAACCTCACCAGCAAGGATTCCTTGCAAATATATGCATCAGCCTTTCTCTTCCGTACAAATTGCTGTTCTAATTTCAGAGACTAAGAAATAGCCCAAGTTTCACATACTTAATTCAAGCTATAAAATAAGACATCAAATTCTGAGCTCTCTGGCATCAATTAAAAGCATTATTTTCATCTGTTCCTGACCTCAGAAAACCAGAATCTGAGGCATTGTTTCTATACTGCTAGTGATCCAAGCTTGTTCTTTCATTGCTCTGATGGGAAGTTATATTCACCAGGAGAGAAAAATCTCTTTATGTTAAAGAGAGTAAATATTATCATAAGTTTAGATTACACTCTCAAATTGAGATTATAACTTCTTTAATTGTGTTTACCTGTCTGTGAAGCAGATCTAGGTACGGATCTCATGGTGGAACCGGTATTAGAGTTAGTCTGGGCCAATATGGTGTTCTCAAAAGCATCTGTGACAGGAAGTACAGTTTGTGTCTTCAGGGTGAAATAGTGACCAGACAACCAGTACAAAGTGAATTCCTGTATCACCTCTGCTACTGGCAGCCTTTTTAACAAACAGGTGGACTGGGGTCCAACAGTTATAAAAGAGGAGACACATGACCAGCACAAATGAGTGAAAGGACAGCAGCATTCCACAGAAAAACTGTAAGTCTGAGAAGGACAGAGAACAGCCAAATGAATCAAACAGATATATTGATGCTAATTAAGGAAAACGATTGCTAGGTGAACAGTGCAGTGTTCTATTTCATTACAGCTTCCTTACCCATTTTTAACATGTTTTCCTTGCAGCATTTCAAATCATTCTATAGGTGATGGTCTATAGTTTTGATGCTGACCCATACAGCAGCAACAGGGGACCAGGGAGGCCAGAAATGAATTATTTCACTCTTGATGAATGCAATGCAATGTTGGGGGGGACATTTTTATCTAAGTACATCAAATCCTTCGTATTATTGCCTCTGTCAGAGCCCTGGCAATAGCAGCAATATCTTCTGGTAAAGGGATGATAAATTTCATTGTTTCCTGCTTAAAGAAACTCATTCTGGTGATGGATGTTGTGCAGTAGGACCTTGGTTTTAAGCAATGAGGAGCAAGTCAGTTCTATGCTATAGTTAGTCCTTGTACCTTGAAATCCCCCCTACCTCTGCAGCCCCATGGTATGCTGAGACCAGAGCTATCTGTCACTGAGGAAAGTGAGGTATAAACACCACAGGTTGGGAAACTCTGGTGCCAGGTGCCAGGATGACTCTAAACGTAGTGCCAGGGGTCACTGGCAAAAGGAAATATTCTGCAAACAGCAAAACTACTTCTGCTCTCTCTGAATTGTTTCTTCCAACCTCTCTGTTCCAGTCTCTTCCCTGCTGAGGGTGACACAGGACACAGGTCTGATATGTCACTGATTCTGTCACTGACCTGTTCACCTGCTCTTTCTACCAAGTTTTTGTGCAGAATGACACAAAAGAATTCCTCAGCCTACATCTCTCTCCTCCCTCTCCTGCAGCAGGGGTACCTGGCTCCTTGTGTCCCAGGTTCTGGCAAATGCTCTGGTAAAGGGGAAAACTGACAATGGAAGCTGGTGATCTTTCAGTGGTTGGGTAACAGAATCCCAACTTAACTTTTTTATATTGTTTATTAAGCAGTAATTGATTAATCCGCTGCAACAAATAGGTGGAAATTTTGCTTGTCTGAAATGAAACACTGCACCTTAAAATGGCTATTAATGCACAGTCTAGCCTCTTCTGTAGTCTTCATGCACATGGCTCCTGCTCCTCTCCCTAGGTATAGACACTAACAAGGGAAGAGGGATGCAAGTGGCCAGACTGCAGGTGAGGGTGAAAAGTAGCCCCTTGGCTCCCTGCGGCTACACTTGATGGAGAGAGGCAGAAGCTAGGCAGAAAATCCAGATCCAGGTGATAGTCTAGGGCACTACTTCCCAAAACAGGCAGAGAATTGGGGTTTTAATTCAAGCCCATCCCTAGATGAATATAACATGAGTGCTGGGGACAGGCAAGGGAGTGACAAGCTGTCTTTATCCCAGTTATACAGATAAACTGACCCCAAAGCCCCAGTGGACTCCAGTGTCATCTGCCAGCTGTGATGAGATGTGAATTCAGTGAATAATATCAAATGATCACCAAACAGGTTTTCATGCAGGATGGAAATACTCATACCTTCAAACCCCAGGGGAGTTGGGTCACTCTTTATTTCATGTCTCTTGACTTTAACTGCAGGAACAAGGGGACCTGTGTGAAGTTTACAAAGTCACAAGGCTGTAAATATTGTTAAAGGAGAAACTTGCTTTCCCATTACCTGGAAACACTACCTTCTTAGGACTCTCCATTTCACCCAGAAAAAATGTCAACCACTAAATTCTAGGTGGTGCAGACAAGCACTTCTGTGAAGTAGATAGGAAACAGACCTCTTTTGGCAAAAGACATTGAGACATCGCAGTAGAAGTATCTGCTTCCCATCAGGTCTCACAGATGTTCCCTCTCACTCTTGACCAGGAGATGGCACTAACGCAGCCAGACTCACAATCCCAGCTCTCACCCGTGAGACTGCCAGGGCAGAGCCCACAAAAGCCAACACTTACACCCCACGGAAGTGGAGGACACCTGTCACAGCCTCTCCTGTGCCCCGACTCCACATGTGGAGAGAGCTGAACTGTCAGCAGTGAGGATCAGACACAGCAGTAGCCGTAGCCTTTTCAAGTGATGATTCAAATACCCTGGCTAGACCTGAATTTGGGCTGATGCTGAGGCAAGACTCAGGCTTCAGTTCTTTTGTCATCTGAAATAGTTTCTTAAAAGAGATGCTGTAAATAAAATACTTAATTGAAAAGCACTGATTTTATTTTCTAGCTTTTAAAATCATTACAAAAGCTGCTTTCTCAGGATTCCAAAAGACTGCCAACAGTCTTGTGGCAGACAGGATTCTAGGACAGGACTTTTTGATATGAAACTGTAACAGAGTTTGAATTTCATTGCAATTCACATATGCTCTCTTTGTTAAACCACACTAAAGAACAATCCTTTGTTGCCCATTTTCTTTTTAATATGTGCTTCATTCTGTTCCTCAGCTTTCAAAATAATTATTAGGAAATAATTCAGTCTTCCCATAATTTAGTAACTGACCATGTATATCTGAAGTTGTTGCCAAGGACAGAAAGCTCTAAGAACCTCTTCTCCTGTGCTATGCCCATCGCTTTCATGGGGTGATGTTTTACTGTTACCATCTAAAGGGGCTGGCAAAGAAACATTTGTAGGTAGTGGGACTGTCACATCCTTCCTCTGCCCATCAATCCCACCACAGTCTCATTTCCTGACAGCCTCATGGCAGCCAAGGATGCTGTTCATACCCTTCACAGCTATTGAGAAGGCACCAAATACTGTGCAACTTCCTTCCTGACAAATACAGAGGAAAGATTTTTATACAAAATAATTCAGACATTTTTTCCTTCTATTTTGGTTTGTGAATTGCCTCTGCAAATCTTAAACTTGCAAATCAGTTCCTTTGCTTTATTCCAAGACCTGCCAAAAGACAGTATATTCAGAATTCCTTGTAAGACCATATGTTCTGTTCTTAAAAGTATCTCTGACACGTAGGCATAGGTGCCTACAGACTTACTGATTTTCAACATAACCAGCTTGCCCAAATGCATGGGTTGATTTAGAGTTTAAATATAGGTACTAATGCAGTAACTTAGAGTAAATTTTGTAAAAGTGCCTTTTCTCAAAATAAAGTTCAAACCTAAAACTTTCATAAATTCCCACACGAACTGCATAGAGGTCAGTGCCTTCATGCATGTCTGAAAATTCCTTGCAAACATAATTTCTAATCATAACTGTGACTATGCTAAATATGCTTAAAACTGGCATCTATTTTTGGCTTGATTTCAGACTTTCTTGATGTCTGCTGCACAATGAGGAGATTCTCTCCTTCTTGAAAGCAAAAATCTTGAAGAGCTTTAAGGAAACAGAGAAATAACTTCAATTGAATTTCAGTTAATCCAAATCGGGTAGAAGCTGGAAACCTAACCCCACATCAGCCAAAAATTAATGCAGTTTCCATGGAAACCAGCAACACTTTTTGAAGCCTACTGTGGAGAAACTGGGAAGAGTCATTCTATGTGCTGGCAGCACACCTGGATATACATTTGAAATGTCTTGGGCTGCCTCCCTGAAGGTGTTACACTGGTCCTGACTCTTCTTCTACTGGAACCTCCTGCATTTGTAAAAACTGAGCCTGGTGTACTCACTCTGTGAACAGCATTTGGCAGTGAATGTATCAGCCAGCAGGCAGGAAGAGGGGGAGCTAAGCAAGCAGTGTGACAGTACCTTTGGTCACAGCAGAAGCATTAACTGTGGTGCTGATGGAGGAGGCAAGGGAAAAGCGACGGGTAACTTCTCTGTCCTTAGACTCTGGATCTGGGAGAACAGACAGATGCAATGCAGGGCAGGGTTAGAGGTTAATAAGCACTGAGGGTAAAAGATGTTCAAAGCAAAGCAGCAGCTGGAAAAGGGTAGGTAAAAGGTGGGTTGCTCTTCTAAAACAAACAGGAAAAATACTCTCAACAAAGTGAGAAGCACAGAAAAGAGTTGCTATGGACATATTTTCAAAGCAATTCCAATTGCACCAGTTTTAATACTTCAGAAAGGAGACTCATGCCAATTATTATTTTAGCAACCAACTAGTGTCCAAGTACAGCTACAAAACACAGAGAAATGAGCGTGATGACTAGAATGGGGTGTGTGTCTACAGATGAGGTTTGGATTATTTTAGACACTGAACTGCTTGTTATGTGATGACTGACCTGAAGTACACTGAAACATGAGTGGTTTGGAGTTCACATGTCATTTCTAGAAGTTAACTGTGTGAATGCCTGAAAACACTCTCTGAGCCTCCATCCTTACCAGGACAAACCAGTGAAGGCTACAGAGCAGATTTTTGTTTACTCCAATTAGGACACTGCCTTTTCTCTAAGTCTGCTCAAGACACAAATTCCCCAGACTTCACTATGAGATGTGTTGGAGTTGTACCAACACCAAGTAATAGGAGCTTGGCTCTGCCAACCAGGGTGGCTAATGCTGACCCAAGAATGGGGGAGACGCAGAGTGCTGAGTATGGACTTTGATAGACTTTGGTGCCAGCTCTGCTAAGGCTGCCTGGGGGATCTCTGCACTAGTGGAGTGCAGGATGGTAAAGTTTCTCCTCCTGACATCAGCATTTCTTTGTCCAAAACCCTGAGGTCCTTATATAGAACATTTTCCACCCCATCATATCCAGCCTAGTTAGACAGTTCAGCATTTCTCTGAGCATCCATGCTCCACTACCAGTTGATATCCATCAAGAAATTTTGTTTTCACCTTATTTAGTCTTGGTATTTTCTTGTTTAGACCTTCCCTTTTGTGTGTTCTGGACATGAACAGACACAGTAGGTGTGAACCAAAGTGTGATCAGCTAAATGCACCATCCCCTGCCACGTCCAGTAATGAATCTTTAGACAAAATGTTCAAGAGCAGGACAAGCTGATTGCAGAGACTTCCCCTGATTGCAGAGACTTCCCCATTCCCTTCTCCCAGCTTCCCATCTGCTTTAACAGCCAGCCCATGTCATGCTAATATGGCTTTGCCTGAAGGAATGACCCCATCACCCAGCCTGTTTGCCAATGGCTCCCTCTAGGCCAGGACCAGATCAGTGACAAAACAGCACAACAAGGTGAAACACCACATTGGGTAATAGAGGTGTTTCACAGGAATCCCAAATAACCAGACCTTGCAAGCCTTTGAGCTGAGAGTGCCTACAGCTGAGGGGGTATGAACTCCTCTGAGCTGTGCTTCACTGCCTGGAACATTGAGTACAAGGCAAGACATTTCACATGAAAAGAAAAATTCAGATAAAAAAGCAAAAGGGGCCCAAACCAAAATTGTAGATCCAAACTCACACAGATTACGTTATTTCTGAAATCTGTATTTTGTAATTAATTTCCCCAAGTCACAGGATCTAGAAATCACTGGGTTTGGTATTCAGACACCAAACTAGTTTGTGTACCTCAGATCTTAATACCACGTGTAGCCTTAGCCTTTCGGCCAGAATCTTATGGCTGTCATGGCTCTTGCTACACTGTTATCTACTTTATAACAATACAATTTATTGCTTCTGCATTTTTCTTCTTATTCTTTCATCTTGCTTCTTCCTTCTTTGATGCTCACCCTCTCCATCACTGCACACTAACCCTTTGTCTCATGAAGGAAATATCATTGATCAGAACAGGAGAAAAGCCACACATTAACAATAAAAGGAGTAATCGTAGTATCTTTTCAGAAAGTGATTGTAAGTAGTCATCCAGTTTAATTTGTATTCACATTTCTTTCTTTGCTCTGAAGTCTCTTCCTTGTACAGCCATCACAGGAACACACAGTGCTCTCTGCTCATGGATATTAAATATCTGTTAAACATTTATGCACAAAGACCCAGAACACACTGTTTTACAGTACCATATAAAATAATTAAGTAGAAATGGCAATAAACCCCAGACCTCCTGAATTCTGGTTCTCCGGAGTAATCACTAGGCCACAGATAAGAAACATTTGAAAAAACAAAGAGGTCCAACTGATGAAGGATTTAACACATGAAAACCTTGTGTAGCACAACACAGAGATGGTACTCTTCCCTTCAAGCCTGTAAGTTGCTGAAAGAAGTTAGGTTGATCATTTAAAACCAGTTCACACTCTGACCCTTGAGAGAAACTGGAAATTTCCATTACTTGCAATGTGCACCAGTAAAAGACCGAACTGGCCAACTCAAAGGTTGCCTTGCCAACACTGCTGTGGGAGAAAGTTTTGGTAACAGTGTCTTTGAGAAGAGGAGCCAAACGTGTGCATCAGACAGGAGTGTTTGGGCGAGATGCAGCAGCACTTTGGGAAACAGTGATGGATGGCACTATGGGATGGAGAGAACATTGTGGGAGTGCAGGAGACAGATGGCCTGAGACCAAATGCTGCATGGGTGATTTTACCTTTGGGTGGAGCTCTGCGGTTGGAAAGACCTTGCAATGTGAATCGCTTTCTAGCAAGCGCTGTGCGCTCAAGGTTAAGGCTGGTGGAAGCATCAACTAGGAGAGAGAGGGAGAGGGAAGAGAAATAAGGAAGGAAGGGTCAGCTGTTCAGCTTATGGGAAAGGAAAGGTTAGCACTGGATGACAACTAAAAATAAATAAATAAATTTTGATTCAGTTCAAGCCTGAGCAAGAGCTAATCAATTAGAAAGGTCACATGAGGTCAGGGTGATTAAACCAGCTGAGCCAAACAGAGCCCCTGGGCTGAGTTTGGCTCACTGAGTTTTAATGGAGAACAATAACAAAACAAAACCAAAGAAAAACAGGTGAAGGGATGTAGCTCTCATCAAAGGAAAATACAGTTTAGCAGCAAGTTCATTAAAAAGGATCTAGTGCCTTTTACTGTGAAAACACATCACTGTGGTTGGAACAACAAGGTTGTAGGGAGAAATAACAGAAGAAGCCTTGCAGTGCAAGACATGCAAGTGTTGTGAGCAGTCCCACTTCTGCTATCCAGCACTCATACTGAGCAGTCTGCCCCTGTCTGCCCTAAAGCTGATGTGCTCTCAGCCTTACCTCCTACAGTCCTCCTAACAGCCTCCAAAGCGGGCACATAGTCATGCAACTGATCTCATGCTTTGCTGGGATGTAAGGATGCCATGCCAGCAAAGCTTACATGCCAGGCTCCCTCGGGAATAAGCCAGCCATGCTGCCTGACAGCCGCCTCTAAAGGGATCAGTCACAGAGGGATCGACGTCCTGAGGCTCTGGGTTTGAAAGATACTGTTATTTGCATTGCAGGAAACAGGTGGACCTAGATCAAACCCCCAGATCCACACATTCCTGCCAAATTCTGCATCTGCTCCTCTCTTAGTGTGGGCAGGTAACACACAGAAGGTTTATGGCAAAGGAGCAGGACAAAGACCATGTGTTGGCTGCTTTTCCTCTTCTTTACTTCATACACTGCCAAGTGAAAATCATTTACAGGGACAAATGAAGACCAGAAGTAGACAGGGAACACAAAGAGACAGTGAATCCACACTGATGGACAAGCGACAGACAAGCTGTGCTTCCAAAGGAAAGTGCATCCTATCACTTTCTGATTTGCAGCCAAGATAATCCAGGATCCAAGGTGCCTGCATGCATAGGTGGGTGTGAGGTTAACAGATTTCAACAACACAGAAGTATTATGTCAGTGTGCTTCAGCTCCTGCTACCCAGTGTCCTGATGCCAGCTTTGGGCCAGGCAGATGCATGTGGTGAGGAATTGCTACTGACTGGTGGTTTCAGCTGTGGGGCTGCCTTTGGCTGTCAGACCATCTGTGCTGGCCTAAGAACCATTCCCTGACATGGCTGCTCCCACTGTGAGGCAACCTTGTAAAGATACTGTAGCTTATAAAGAATCCAGAAACTGGTATATAAAATGCACTTACTTTCTGTTTGCTTAGGGTAAAAAAATCCATAGCATTTCATTATCAGAGTCCCACGGTAAATACATCAGTGCATGTCTGCAGGGGTCAGGTTTCAATGTTGGTTCTTCAGCTCTGCAGTTACATCACTGCACTGAGGAACCCTGTAAGGATCTCACAAGTCCCCCCAGCCTTTCAGCACCAGCAAAGCACTATACACTGGTCTCTAAATTCACATTGTCTTTGAAATAACCTGAGTTATTTCAAACCTTTTCCTTTATTCTGCAAGTATACCAGATAACCCTGGAAGCCATTTCCAAACATAATGAGGACCAGGTCCTGGTGGGCAGTGGGTTGAACATGAGCCTACAATGTGTACTTGTGGCAAAGAAGGCCAACAGCATCCTGGGCTACATTAGGAGAGCTGTGCCAGCAGGACCAGGGAGGTGATGCTTTCCCTCTTTGCAGCACGAGAGAGACACACTTGGAATGCTGTCCTGTCCTGGGCTCCCCAGGACAAGACAGACATGGACATTTGAGTAAATCCAGTCAAAGGCCATGATTAAGGCATTGTAGCAGCTGACATGACAAGAGAGTGAGAGAAATAGGATTTTTCAGCCTGGAGAAGGGGCTGAAAAAGGGGGATCATACCAAACAAAGAAGACGGAGTCAGACACTTCTCAGTGGAGCCCAGTGACAGGATGAGAGAGGCAATGGGCACAAATTGAAATACAGAAAATTCCATTCTAAAATGTGAAAAAAACTTTTTTACTGTGAAGGTGGTTAAAGCCTGGGACAGCATCCCCAAGGCATTTGTGGAGTCACCATCCTTGGAGCTATTCAGAGCCCAGCAGGACATGGCTGTGAGCAACTTGCTCCAACTGCCCTGCTGGACTTGCTCCCATATGGCTTCAAGGCAGTGACTCCACCAGTCAGGTCCACACCAAACACGGGTTTATATGTAGAAAACTCGGTTCAGCCCCTGCAGAGGAGCAGCCAGAGGTGCCTCACAGGGACACAAGTTTTGGTGGGACATCTAAAGCTGGAGAGCTCTTGGCTGGCTCTGTGCAGCCTGGTTTGCAGCCCAGGATGCACAGGACACCCAAATCCCAAAATGAGAATGGACTCACTGCCCAGCTCTGCAGGAGCAGCCACCCAGCAGAGGATGAGGAGGCTCTGGGCTGAGCTAGTGGGATCAAAGCCAGAGCCCTGAGGAGCTGGTCATGGGAAAGCCAAGACAGAAGAATGACAATCAGTACATAGGGTGATCCCAGTTCCCACACTCTTGCTTAGCTGGACCAGTTAAAAACATCAATAATTTTCCTGGATTTTTTTTTTTAAAGGGGTTTATGAATTTCAAATGAAAAGCCACTTTTCCACTTTCCTAATTTCTAAAAAGTTTATATTTAAAAAAATATACTGAAAAAAATTTTTAAGATTGGATTTTTAACTGAAGAATCCATAACTTCATTTCTCACCATGAAAACTTATTGAAATGAAAAAATCTTTTGGCGAATAGCCTATTTTTCAAAGAGAATATATTCCACTTCCTTTTTTACTATCTCTATTTATGAAGGGGCTGTTACTTTAAGCCTCATTTGGGCATTAGTCTCTTAAGACCTCACAATTTTCATTTTATATTATTAGAAAATTCTTTGCTCTAGCATTTAGAAATACTGCCTGAAAGAGAAACTGCTGTCAAAAGATTTTCTGTTCCTGCTACTGTCAGATGAGATTCAGTTTCTCATCTTCAGTTCATTTTAACCTACACTGTATAGAATATCTATTGTACTTATGCCCTCAAACAGTGGAGGCACTTTCTGTGACAGTGTGTGGGTGTATTCACTATACACCAGAGGGAACCTATAGTTAGAGGATGCAAAAAGCCTCAGACATAAAGCAAGGAAATCACTTAGCAAAGTCCACAGACAGTCTTAAAATTAAATGTATCTAGAAACCAATTTCACCAGGATACAGAAGGTTAAAATACATATACTATTGTCCCCAAAATTCTATTTTTAAAAAACACAAGTTTCATAAAGAACACCGTAATGCATCAAAATTCAGACTTAAAAATCCTAAACAAGTAACACTTCTTGGTGTTCAGGAGGTTTCATGGTACAGTTGCTCAGCTTTGCAGCATTGTTTTTTTGATGTTGGGTTTAAACAACATACATTTAAAATATCCTCATCAAACACCACAAATATGTGTAATTATAAAAATATTACCCTTTGGAAGCAAAAGCTCTGTCTCAGAACTCCTACCTCTCTTTTGTTTGGCGCTGGGACTGGAATTCCTGTTTTTATTGTTAGATGCTTCCACATTTGATGTCTCAGATTTGTTTTCATAAATACTTGATGACTTCCTGCTATACCTTGGGACAAAAGAAATATAAAAATAATTACATTCCTAGTTAATGCCTAACAGAGCACTGAGCACTAAGAATTCTTTTTCTCCTCAGACATGAAAGCCTACAGAACAAAGAACAGGTTTTAAAATTCTATGCTACAGAAGCCTGCATCTGTAGTGGATAAAAGTCATCCCAGCCCCTGCCTCCTCTCTACACCACACACTACAGGATGTGCTCTCTGAGAGTTGAGAAAAATGGAGAAACAAGTTGGTTGTCTGCACAAGCTCTTTTTGCAAGTCCAACAATTTTGGAAGGAAGAAGGGGAAAAACAGCTTAGGAAAGAAAATCCCAGTTTTCCATCCTTTGTAGCTTGCATTTGTCTCCAGGAGAGAAATGGATGCTGGATGGTCACGAAGAGGTCATACCATGCACAGAGGAACATGTGAATTCCACTGGCTTCCCCCAACTTCTGTTTCTTCTCTTTGGACACATGAATCCCAGTGGGATATCCCTGACTAGAGCTGAACCACAGACCACAGGGGATCCACCTTGACAGACTGGCACAGGTACTGGCCTTGTGTCTGTAACGGGAAGGACCCTCCCACCCTTGGTTTGTAGGACATTCTAGCTGCAAGATTTTCTCATGTTTCTTATCCTCATTGTTTTGCAAATGTCTGGTGGTTTAGTTTGGGTGTTTGACTTATCTTTTGCAGATTGCTCCATATGTTTCACTGTATCTACATACTTGAAATCCTCTTTGCCAAAATGCTTGTAATTAACATGTATCAGCAATTACACTGCTGCTTACAATTAACAATGAACTGTTAAACTGAACATTCATAGGGTTTATTTTGCTGTAAGGGAAGGCCTGAGATATCATTACAAACATTAAAACATTTGGAACACTAGAGAGCTGTGAATAACTTTCATAACTATAAAGCGGCCCAGGACTCATTGCTTTGTATTTGAACCTCTGATCTGTTTCTGATGGAACCTTAGCAAGGTCTCTGTTACCTCCTGCACTAAATCACAATGTGATTTTTCAGCCTAATGTCAGGTACAAAATTGGGCTTAAAATAAATATGGGAACAAATCCAAAGCACACTCACATTTCCTTATTCTTTTTTCTCTGTTCCTTCTCAGCTGGGCTGAGATAACTATGAGATGTGCAGCTGACAGAGTTAAAGATTTACAGCTGTGGGAAAGTCACCAAGAAAACACACGAGCTTTTCTGAAACAGCATCTGCAGTCAAACTCCAAGTGTTTGTGTTTATCTATGTGCAGAGGATATTTTTACATGGATGTATGACTGAATCAGTCATTTCCAACAAAGAAGATAGTTAAGCAGTTAGAACAATAATCTATTTAAGTTTCATATGTTTAAATAGATTAGAAAACAATACAAAGGGATCATTTCATTATCACTGAAATGCAGCAACCACCCCTTGAGAGAGATACAGCAGCAATAGATACCTCAGGGCATCTCATTTTAGGATTTAACAGTGAAATTTTGGGGAAGAATTTACAGAGAGAGAGACTTGAAATAGATTGAACAGGACTCAGGGACATTCAATAACTGCCTGTATTACAGGCACTGGCTCTAAGTGTCCCTCTTGCCAACACCTCAGCTCCAATCCTGAGTCAAACCAGCCCTGCCTTATCTCACAGAATTGCAGTCCCAAGTGTTGTGGTGGCACATAAACAAGTAAAGGGGATAGTCTTTGTCATGGAACAGATACAGCCTGGGGAGGGGAGAGCATCCTGCAAACAGATTTCATTAATGTCACAGCACAGGTTTGACGATTCCCGATAAGCAACAGTCACTGTTACACACAGGCAACCCAGAAGAGGGTGTCTATTGGTTAGATAAAATTTCAATGATTAATTATTCTCCAACCACTGGCAGAGTTCTGTTGATAATGTCTGCTCTCTAGCTAATACTGTCTGCCACTGGCACCTTTCACAACTGGGGCTGCTTGGCCATATCAGTCACAAACACAGACTGTGCCCACGAGGTGGCTTCCTTTCTTCTCCCCCTTCACCCAGCATCTCAAAACAGGCTGCAGAAGGTGTTCCACAGTCTGAGGAATTCTGGATCCAGCATCACATCAGCTAGTGCAAAGCCAACTTCTGCTGCAATTCCCCTGTCCTTGCTTCTCTTGGAGACACACGCTACACTCTAAACCTTGTTCCATTCATGACAGCCCAGAATGTTGTTCTTTCATGTTCTTTCTGTATTCTTCCTGTTCCTATAATAACCTGGCATTTGGAGCAGGAGCATCTGACCTCTCCTTCTCTGGCACAGTTGGCAGAGTGAGGACAACAAGTGCTTCATTTTTCCTTTGGTTTAATCCATTCTAGGACAAATAGCTAATCACACGGCCTTTCTTCCTGGAGTTAATTAATTTGCTGTTTACATATTTTTTCTATAATTTCTGCTCTGGAAAAAATCTCACTTTAGGAGCCTTATAAGAAGGACACACGACTGGATTATTTTGAAACATTTTTGTGCTTGCATTTTATATCTTACTGGGATAAATTTCTCCTATCCCCAAGGTGGTTCTGCTGAAAGATTTCCACCGTTAAACCTTAAACAAAGCAAATGTAACCAAGCCTAGAGAAAATATGGTGCAGGATTTAGCACTGCACGTGTTTAATATTTCTTGCATGGAGTTGTACAGCCCTTAAAGGCTGGCTGTATTACCTTGGACCTCTTGGTTTGGTTGATCCTGCTAAAATGTTACAGTGATATCCTGTGCCAACATACATTAAACTTGCCCAGCAATTGGGCCATTACAAAAATTTGCTGACAGCTCCATTTAACATCTGGAAATGTTCCAATACATTTTGCCTAAACTTGAGCTAATCAATGCAGAATTGTGATTTTAGTCCCCCTCTGAGCAAAATCTTTATGTGTATTTACTATGAATTTATCTTTAAAGAATTTGAAGACAACCGAGTAAGTTCATACCCGGGAAGCTAAATACAAAACCCTCAGAATTTTTGTACTGTAAAAGCACAAAGGCAAGACAAAACATGGCCCTGAATGTGCCATGGTAGCTGTGGTTACCTGCTTGCATTGGAATCCATCGGTGCATGGTATACACTCTCAGTGATTCTTTGGTGCAGTTGACTTGCTTCTGGTAAAGAAAAAATTAAAGGAAATTGCTCCAAATTGTATAAATTGCTTCTGTGTTTATGTAGAAGGTGGGAAAGAGAGAGAAATAGGAGAGAAGAGATTTTGACTGCCACTGCAATCAAAATGGAATGCTTGTACTTGAAGAAAAGGCATATGATGATCTTAATGAAACCTTAGCTCACCCAAACACCTCTTCCACTCATATTTTTTCAGTGCAGAAGAGATTTATTGCTCTACCTCCTTCTCTTTCCTCTGTACCTCTTCCTAGCTAATTGCACTATATGGATCTAGAGAATGGATATAATGGCATTTTTCCCAGAATACAGGTTTTGTGGCTCACAGGCTTTTCTGCATTTAGCAATACATGTACACCAGTCCTTTTGCACACACAGCCATGTAGTGGGATATACCCCCATCCCTCTGCAGAATGCTTTTGCTCAGCATCCTTGACAAACAGAAATAAGAAAATGTTGTTTAGGTGCCACTTGTTCACTCTTTCTGCATAGCTGTCAGGTAGCAACAACTTGTACCTATGTCCAGTAAGTTCTGAGTGAAGAAAAATGATAAGAAAGATGCTGTCAGCCTGTATTTCAGGGCCAGGAGAGTCAGACTCTGAGAAGTGAGGAAGCAATGGAAGGAGCTGCTTTCAAACTCTCAGGTTGCTGAGATCCCAAGGCTATTTTGCTGTGTAAGATGAATCTCCTTTCAATGAAAGAAGAACTGATAAGGGGTGAGGGGCAGCACCAAAAGATTAAACTCAATGAAGTCTTTTGTTGGCGGGGGAGAAATGTGCATTCTGGGTGAGGGAGTTGGAAATAGCTCCATTCCTGACTTTGGCAACTGATCCACAGCCTTGCACAGATCCCTGAAGCTGCATTAGTAATTCCTTTGCCTTCAAGGGACAACTACATTCTTTGGGACTGATGGACCACAGTGTTACCCAAAGCCTTGTTGGCATTCCATGCTCACTGCAGTATGTGATGGGGCTGTACATACACCGAGGGTTGGACACAAATGACCCATGTGTTAAACTATTTATCACATACTTTGGCCACCTTCTTTGCCCTTCACTCACTCACTCATCTCAGCTGGTTCCTTCCAACATCCCAACCGCCTGTGCAACTCCTAACAACAGTCATTAAAAACAGCCAGACAAACAAATATATCCCTCTTCCTTCTCTCATTACAATGCACAGTTGGAGAAATATCCAGTCTTGGATTATAGTCTCTTCTTTCATGAGTCATTGGAACTAGAAATAACTGTGTAAAAACCACAGGACAAAGCATGTGCTTCCTGACATCAGTATTGTAATAAAGGCCTTGATTCATGTGATCATTTGGAAAAAGGCAATGGGAAGAGCTGCAACAGCGTATGAGATACAAGTTATACCCTCTGACTGCTGTTCTGCTGGATTCACAATGAAGGGAAGCTTGACTTTACTCATAGAGTAGGATGAAAGTCATCCTTGGATGTTCTTAAGACCAGACTGGATAAAGTCTTGAGTAATGTGGTTTGGCCAATAACTGACTCTACTTTGAGCAGGACCTTAGACTGTGATGTCTTGAGGTCCCTTGAAATCTGAAATATTCTAGAATCCTATGATCTTAAGGCAGAAATATTCTAGAATTCTATGATCTTAAGACAAAACAATAGAGAACATCAAAACATAAATTCTTTAAAAAACTTTCAATCTTGATTTCTGAGTATTTTTCTCTGGAGAATGCATAGTAACTCTAGCTAATAGGTCTTTTATGCTACAAATATTTCACAAATGCTCATCTGTGAGCTTCATTTTCTTTGCCTAGAAACACACATGGAGGATTAGCACTATTAAACATATACATTTTCTCTTCTCTCTACTGCAGTAGCCTAAGCAACACCAGCTTTTATACCTAAGTCCCTAGATCAAGTCCTGAAACTGCGCTTAGAAGAATTTTGAGTTCTGTCCTCAGCAGTTCACGCTGAACTGATCATAGTGAAATTCAGAATAAAAAGGAGAAAGGATGAGGACAAGAACAGTAACAAAAAGCCTCAGCAGTAAGCATTGTAAGTAAGTATTTTGTTGGGTTGGATTGAATTGCTGAGGCTCATGTACATAGTTGTTTCCCTCCACTGAAGGAGGTTGCAAGAACTCACTGTCTCTGTGAAACAGACAATTAAAGTAAAGGTGACTTCTAAAGTTAAAGCACAGGCACAGGTTTTCACCTAGAACAAACTCTGCTTAGGAATTTGAAGGATGTGGGTGGAGAGGTTTGCTGACCTTGCAAAGAGAGGTATGACATAAGCAGAAAATGACAGAGCAAGATGACAAGCAATGCCAGGGCCCAGGAAAAGCCTGTATTATAGCTGTGAGGCTTTTTTGTCTAAGAGAATAAATAGAATACTATCTCCAGTATCTCCAGCTTTCATGACTATGTTCTTTTACTATCTGGAATAATCTAGCTGAATTTTTCTGTCTGGGGTTCAATATCTTACATTAAAAAGGTGTCTTTACTTTAGGTACTTATGAGGCTTAGATCATTCATGGTGTTGAACACATCAAAAACCACCTCTGTTGTGACATCTCTGTGAGAGAGGGAAATGTCACCAACCCTGTTTTACAGGGAGGTCACCAAGATAAAAAGATGGGATAACTGATTGACATTTAAAACATAAGGTGGGTGAGTAGATTGAAAATAAAAACCTTCAAGCCCAAACAAAGTAAAGAAAACAGTAGGATGGAGAGGAACAGTTGCTATGTTCAGTCATGGACATGGACAAAGATCTTTTGTGCCAGGTTTTGTGAGCAGGCACAAAGTGAAGACTGGGACTCCAACTCCTCACATGCTGGTGTAAATGGATGTTCCTAGAGTTGTAGTTTGAGAGGGAGAACAGAGGAAAAGAATGTCCCTTGGACTAACAGTGAATGGAATAATTATCAATGCCACTTCTAAAGCTCCAAGAAATTTTCTTTGACCAGGACAAGGGTTTAAATCCCAGCAATGCTGCAACCACCCAAGTGGTCCTCCCACTGGAGATCTGTTCTTGCCCGTTTCACTGGTGGTACAGGTCAGCCCTGTGACTCGTCCCAGCTCAGTGTTGTCACACACAGCTCCAGAAGGAAGGCAACATTACCAGATCCTGCTCTGTGTGTCCTACCTCTACACGCTTCCAGCTGTCCTGTCAGGACTTTGCGAATCTCTGAAATCCAGGTGTTTTTCAGCTCAACAGAAGATGCCTGAGAACACAAGAGGACAAGGCAAAGCAGATCCAGTTAAAACGTGCTGCCAATCACTGTGCTGCCCTGACCTATGTTTGCTCTCAATTGTCCCAAGGATTGGAACACTGGGGCCAGCTTTGAGCAAAGCAGAGGATGCTCTTTGAGATGGAAGAGTTACAATGAATTTAAGGTCCTGTCTATGCTTTTCTGTCTAGCATTCCAAGAGATTTCCCACTACTCTATTTCCTCTTTTAGCCAAAATCATGACCATTTTCACAATAATAAATTGGCAATCTCAATGCCCACACAACAATGAAGCTTTCAATGGCTATTGTTTCTGGAGTGTACAGGACAGTAAACATTCTTAAAAACAATTCAATTGAAAGGAAGTATATAGTCCTTGGGAAAAAAAAATTATTGTCATTACCTGAATGATATAGACCTCTTCTCTGCCATTATACCAGATCTCAAACTTCTTGTTATCCCCTTTCACATTTTCTGTAATGCCCACAGTGCTCATCTGTTTCAAAACAAAAAAGAAGAAGCTGAAATCTGGAAAATTTCGATAGTCTTTAAACTCAATCCTCTGAGAAGCATTTTGAAAAGGCTGCATTCATTTATACACTTTAGTGAGTCATTAAAAGTCAGAACATGTTATTTCTCAATATCTAATTTGTTGTTCATCTTTTTGATTGAGGGGAAAGATTGTTCAAAAGTAACCCAAGCTAATGTCTCTTCATGAGTTTATCCTCTTTTCTTTCATTGCTTCATCTGTGGGTCAGTTTTCAGTCCTATCCTGGCTCTTGTCCACCTAGACAAATTTTCAGTTTTGGGAAGACTGAATTTTCCTTTGTCATCACTGACCTGTTAAGGTGGGAGAGGAGGAGGGATGGAACAGGGCTTTGTGAGATTTAATGACTGAACTGCAAATCCAAACACAAAAAACCTGAAGGAAATAATTCTAGATTTCTTAAATGAAATATTCTTTGCCACAATTTTGAAGTTCAGTTGCTGCTTTACTTCCCATCTTCTTCCTGTATTCGTTCATCCTTCTTGTTCTTGATTTACCTCAGCATTTCTTTGAAGATTTAGACAGTGTTATGCCACCATTCCTTCTCTCTCCACAGAAAGAAACTACAAATGTTTATATGAATTGGTTCAACTCTTGAACCAGGTTCTATTACAATTCCTGTCTGGTTATCCTGTAGTAAGTTTGCAGCATTACACTTCATGATCCATATCAGTTGGCTAAAGTCACAAGTGTCACACCAATGTGCTTAAAGGGAAAATTGGCCTATTTGTGAATCCCACCATAAAATGTCCTGACTCATATCTGGAAATGCCACTCTTGCAAATAAAAGGGTACTTCTACTGCACTGATTCATCTGTAGCTATTACTGTCACAGAATAGACCTGCTCAACTGATCTCAATAGTAAAACCTGCAGTAAAATTACCCTTAGAGGATACCCACAGGCAGAACAACCAGAGATGCAGGTCCATTCAGTCTTGCTTCTCTTTATGGGATGGTGGGCAAGAATACACAAGATGCCCATTTGTATCTAGTTGCAAAAAACAAGGTTCACGTCTGGGGTTGCAGGACGTATGGATTGGTCTGTCTCCAGACCAAAACTAAATGGGAACTTACTTAGGGGTGTGAGACAGCCCCAGATATATGCACCTGCTTAAACTCCACATGGAAACATCCTTGTCTTGTGAGAACACCAGACTTATTTATCTCCCCCACCATTACTGCATTTATTACCTTTAATGAATTTTTAAAGCTGTACGAAGCTGTCTTCTCATGGCCATCTGTGTTCTCCTCCCGTTTCTTGCAGAAAAGCAGCATCTTTGTATAGAGGAAGAGGTGTCTCTGCATTGGTTTGAATCTAGCCAAGTCCTTCACCTTGTTGTGCCCCTTCTTGTGGTCGGTCCACACGTTGAAGGAACCCTGCATCAACAGCTTGCCAAGCTCACTGACATCGCCCTAGAAACCAAGAGAGTGTACATCACGTTCCAATAGGGTAATCCCAGGCACAATTCATTCCTCTAATGGTGTTTAGGCTTCCAGGCAGAGGCATGTGCCTGGGCATCCTTTGTGCTGGAGAGTGCACATGTCCCCTTGCTAAACCTGTGTGGTTTCTTCATATAACCCTTAACCCACTGGTTTCCATGTCCATAATTCTCAATTTGTCTCCCCATTCATAGTTAGCATCTAAGGTCTGTCTCAGGACAGGCTGTCCCCTTTGGTGACCTCAGAGGAGACTTCTTCTGAGAAAAAAGGGTTTCAAGACTCCTGACTCCAAGGCAGTATGAAGGCCTAGTGCAGTCCAGATGCTCAAGCAAAGGCCCTGGCTCTGGAAGATCTAGTTTCAGTTTCTGGAGCTTCTTCCATCCGTGGGCAAAACCTTGAAAGAGCTTAGATGTCTGAAGTCACGGATTGGTGCCCAGAGGTATGTAGGTGTGTGGTTCCCTCCTATTGCAAAATAGTTTTTATAAGCTTTGTCAATAGTTTCCTGGCTCGCTATCTGCAAACTATGCAACCCTGCACAGCCTTGGGCAAAGAGGGAGTGAATGCACCAAGGAGCCATAAAAGTACCTGAGGGAGAGTGAAACTAAGCAGTAACAAGACCTTTCTAAATTGTCTGAGGACCACTGATGGGTAAATACCTCAACTGATATTAATCAACAAATATGTAGCTCTGATGCCACCAGCACAGTTCAGTGTTAAGAGTGTAGTAAAGTGTGGATAAAGGATATGGCAACACATTTATGGTAATGGGCTTCAACAAGTAATGATAAACATAATTATCCTACCAGCAAGTTTTTCCTAGGAATGCTTTGTATAATAAGTTGAGGGAATAAGCCCAGTGCATTACTGAAGCACTTATTTTCAATATCTGTATGTTCTGTTGACTAGAAGGTGAAGATGTTGGCTCCAAGCAGGAATGTCCAATTTCTTAAACTATGGATTGCAACCTGTTCTCTCTCACTCCCCCTCCTCTACCATAGATCCTGCTGCAAAACCAGGTCTTAACTAGGTACTTTTCCACTCTATATCAGGGTATTATTAGACTCTCCAAACTATTCAAAGAACTTCAGTAATTTCAATAAGAGTCTCCCATTTCTAATATATAGAGTTGGATCTTTTATTTGTGCATACAGGACTGTGGATGTTTGTATTTATACATGCATGCAGGTATAAACTGCAAGCCTGTGAAAAGCATATTGGTATGTAAAGCTAAATTAAAAAAACAAACAAGCATATTTTCTACACAGTTCTGACAATGGTGAGAGCTGCTGTCACCCCAGGCACTGTTTAGTACAGCTCAGTGTAACTCTTGTGATAGGTCTGTCTCCAGTCTTGTATCTGGGATTGGGATACAGCAAGTGAAGTGGGAGGCTGCCACTGCAGAGAGAAAGAGGATGGACAGGGGTGGCAGCCTTTGAATATCAGCCCACAAGCCTTGGACTCTCTCTTTAGTGTGGGCAGCAAATGGAGAGGAGGATGCTGTTTCTGGTAATTTCTTCTAGTGGGCAGCAATATTTTGTCCTAAAGGAAGTCAATTTAAAGTGAAGGATTTGATCACTATCTCAAACATAATTATCCTCTCTAAGAGCAATACACTGTATCTCATGTTTATGAAATATGAGAGATAAATATGATAACTCATATGTATATCTCATGATAACTCATGGACAAACTATGCAGGCCAGATTATATACCAATGTTGGGATAATAATAGCAAACATCTGTAAAACTTCTGCTCTCCAAGCTTTATTCTACTTTTTTTTTTTGTGGCTTTGACTAAAAATAAAAATTAAAAAAACAAACAAACAAAAACCAACCAAACAAAAATCAAACAAATAAAACCCAGAAAACACCAAACCAACCCCAGACTTACGTGTTAGAAACTTCTTACACAACAGTTCAGCTCCTCAAGTCTGCATGTGCACAAGTCCAAGAAGCAGAATATCCTATGCAATTAGGAGCATTTATCAGCTGCCACAAAACCTGCTTTCCTGCTGGCATAATATCCCTCCCTGAAAGGTGTTCTAGCCAAGTATTTCTATCATGGCTGTATGGGAAAGACTCCACAAGATGGGGTGTGGTTTCATCAGCTATGGGAGGTGTTTATTTGGCACCACAGCTGAGCACCTGGGACAGGTGGAACAGGGAGAAGAAATAATTATTGGGTGCATCCTCTTTGACACTTTCACCCCATTGAATAATCATGTAACAAACCATCTCAGGAATGCTGTCAGCATTGGGCTAAACAGCAGCTATGTCCCCCTTTGCAATGGTTTTTCAGTTCAGCTAAGAAATCAGAAGCAAAAATCTAGTCCTAGGAGCTACTATCTGGCATTTCATGGAAGGCTGGAAAATTCAAAAGTAAAAGTTTAAAAGGAACAGGAATGCTCTGTTGAATTCCTGAGTACAAAACTACTCTGAGATTTGAAAGCAAGGAATAGGCAAAAGGATGACCTCAACATTTATGTGGACAGCAAACTGGCTAGAACCCCTCTGCTTAGGATAATATACCTTTCTTAGGGAAGCTCTTCTGCCCATCCCTTACGGAGCAGTTTAAAACCAAATTTTTTTGTGAAATTGCTGTAACTTCATACATTTAAACTGGGAAACATGGGAGGAAAGCTACCCTTCTCTTTGGGAATGAATAAGAAACAGTGGAAACTGTGTCCTGTATCCATGAGCCTCCCATGCCCATGTTGACTCGTTCAAGTCTGCAATAATAATATCCAGGCTTTAAAGAGTTTTTCTAAAATGAATCTCTGAGACACTTAGACTTAGCCATAACCAGAATGAGGTAAACATATTCTTTATTTAAATTTGTCAGGTTTGGGGCATCTAAGGTTATGCTTATGATCTGTGATGTTTCTCTGATCCACAGGCACCACATCTAGTCTGTGTTTACCAGTATAATGAGGTGGCCACTGCTTCACCTTCAACCAGTACAGCTACTGGAGGAAGAACTCACATTCTCAGTTCAAATGTAATGCACAGTCCACAGGAGCATCTCCAGCTCTGTGCAGCAGTGGATCTCTGACGTGCCGCTGAGTAAGCACTTAAATTTATTTATAAACTCATGCTGACAGGAGCATGGGTTCCTCAGCTACCAGATGCACTTGCATGAAAGAGAACTATAGAAATCAAAACTCCTGAAGCCACTCCCATCCTGAAAAACAGAATAACTTCCCACCCACACATAGTCTCTGTAGACCCCAGCACCTTCTCAGGAAGTTGCATTCTGCACAAAATAGTTTTCCTGGTGTCTAGACTAAACCGTTACTCTGATGTAATAATTCTTTGAACCCAGTTTCTCAGTATATTATTTCTTTCTTGACATTTTCACCCTGCAGCTATTTCAAAATGGGTAACCACATGACCCTCAGGCCTCGTTTTGCCAGGCATGTTTCTCCTTTATGTGTCAATCACTTCCACTTCTCACTTAAGGGCTCATTTTATGTAGGCAACACTAGTTCTTGAAAATCATATGACTTCAATGGAGCATCAGCAGATAGAGAGAGAGAGATTTGTTCCCTTTGATTTGTACTGTGGTTGTTATTTCATATTTCAGATAACAAGCTTGCCAGTGACTGGGATGGATTCTATTATCCACTTTAAGTGGAAGATAAATTTTCTTCCCTCAGTGCAAAAGACTTGAAAACTGTCAAGCTGCACAGAGGTCACAAAGTTTCAGCAAATTTGTTAAGTTATGTCTGTCACACTTGCACCTCTCACCTACAAATGAGTTTTGGGTGCAATTACGCAGAAGTCTCACATTTGTCCCACTACCTCCCCACACTCACACCCCACCTCCACATGACAGGTGTGCTGACAAGTATTTTTGGCAATCACAACATGCCACTGAGTAGCATCCTTCAGGAATGTGGCACAGGCTCCTGCAAAGTGTACCAGCCAAAGGCACAGCATAATCAGTGGTGGGAGGAGCATTGGATTACTCAAGACCAGAGTAGGAGCAACAGCAAATAGTACCTCATATCCTGTGATTGCTATCTGGTGCATGGAATCATTTACTGATTTGATGATATCAAGCATCGTGGCCAGGGCTTCTTCCAATTCAGCAGTACCCTCTGAATTCTTGCTGCACTTCAGCATTTCCTGATTAAAAAGAGATATGGAAACTACTTGAGAACTTCTTGTACCAGAAGACACCATAAGACAATCCTTCCTGAAATTTGTGCTGTGTAGACAAAGTAGCAGAGCTCTGGGAAAACAAAAAGGGGAGTAAAAAACCCCAAACAAAACCAAACAGGACATTCACCAGGATTATCATTGAGGACACACATTTTGACTTTTTGGCCATTTTCAAGTGTTCATTTAAGATGAGATGGGACCATTCTGACATATTTACAATGAACTTCTTGCATGTCAGAGGGTTTTACTTCCAGGGTTTTTTTCTTCACATCTGCTAGAAAACAAACTTAATATAATTATTTCAGATGCTGGAGAATTCTCCATTTTCCTTTGCAAGTAGTTCCACAAGGTACTTACCACTGTTAAAAATATAAATTAATTTCTAATCTGAATTTGGCAGGTTCGACATTCCACATTTTGAGTTTGGAAATAATTTAATCCAAATGTTGATGCACTTGTGTTACCCTAAAATGGGGCCCCAAGAAGGTAGTTCCTGCAAACCCCAAAAAGCAGCAGCCTCTCCTCAAATGCTTGGGTAACCAGACATTAGAAGGTAAAAGCAGGATTCGTTCCTATAGTACCTGTTGCACACTTTCTAGGATGAGGATGGATCTCTGCTCCTTGTACAGTGAGCATGCTGCTTTCATCAGCATGAGCATATTAGCTAAACTGGTTGAAAACAGAGGGTTGCAATAATTGTGACCCAAAATTTAAATCTAGTCTGCCCACCACTCAAGGCACACAGCTTCTTAAGCACTTCTTTGTTATCAATTTTTCACTGACTTCAATTTTTCTACATGTTTAAGTGCTCCTGCTACCAGGAAAAGAGTGCATCACCTTCACAGATCTCATAATCCCTGACAAGGTAAATGCCCATGCCAATGTGTTGTTGCTAAGTATGAAACTGGTCTGACCAGCTTCAAACCCCAATGGCTGTGACCTGTTTTGCCTGAGAATTTTACTCCTTGATCTAATCTTGGTTTTATTTACAGTCATATTTCAAACTAAAAGCAGAAACTGGTTTATTCTTGCTTTTCTGGAGACCTTGACACTTTTTCCATTCTCGCAGATTAGTTTCAAGAAATAGAGGCAAATTTATTTCTGGAGTATGTCGATGTAAATCTGCTGGAATCCATGAAGTTTCATCCATGTCAATATCCCCCTTCAATATTTGGATTCTATAGTTTTGCATAAAGTCAATAAACAGCTTGGAGAAATACTGCACAAGAAGGGCCAGCCAGGTCCTCACATGACTTGCACTGGCACAATTTGAGCAGTGCCATGGTAGCTGCTAGCAAGTTAAATGGCAGCCTAAAATCTTCATTGCAAATTTCAATGCTAAATTTCCTGGCAGTGCACAACACTACATTAATCCCAGCAGCTTGAGAACAGCATGTAATTCACCTTCATGACCTTCTCATAAGGAAAGACAATAAGTATTATTTTTAAGAACTGAGAAAATGAAGACAGAAATTTAAGCCATCATCTTAAAAAAAAAAAAAAAAGTCATTGTTTTGAGTTATACATTTCCTGTTGCCCAGTTCAGACCACAATTTCAAGCATGGACCACTCAGGGTTCCAGCCAAATCAAGAGGGAATTTCACATATTCATCTCCTGGAAAAGTTACAATTTGTTCCTAGCTGGGTCTTTTAAAAAGAAGCAGCAAAAGGGAGTGGCTCCTCCTGAAAGGTTTGAGTCACAACCATGGGAAAATATCAGTTCAGAGAGCTGAAAGAGTTTTGTTAAACAGGGACAGATGTTAGAGACAGGATTTAAGGCATCAGTTCCTGTTTTCAGACTGTAAGACCATATACTGACCCAAAAAAGCCAACTTCAATTTCTGTTTAAAGATAAATAAAACAATAAATAAGACAATAAAATACTTACTGTGTAAAGTATCTTTATATAGAGAAAGCTATACATATAATAGTATACTTCTATTGCTTAGTATGTAAGTACTGCTAAGAAATAGCAGTTCCTATTCTAAAATGCAAGTCCCTTCTTTTTCTGTTTTCTACTATTTTACAACTGAACATTGCAAAGTATTTGCTGAAGAATTGAGCGAGGATTTATTTCCAGGTAGTCCTGACTGATTTGCAACTCTTTAAGTAAAATGCTATGCACTGGAAATCTTTGCACTGCCGTGGAGAACTTACCTTTAACAGCAACTGATACTTGGTGATTCTCTGGACTGGCTTTAAGAGATAAGCATCTAGTGAGAGTTTATGATCCAATTTACGCTGACATTCCTGTAAGAAATAACAGGGTAGAAAAACACAGTTGTTTCTTGAAACACAGGTAAAACACCAAGATCATTGCCATCTGACAATCTGAGATTATGTATCTGTGAATTAAGTGAGAGAAAAATTTGTTCAATCTGCATAGGAGTTTCCAGGTTATTTATGCCACAGTGAAAATGCATCTAAACAAGAGCTAATGTTAAGGTTCGACTCAGTGTCGAAATCTGGCATTCCTCGCTGATGAGATTGCAATCAGCTGGCGTTTGCAAAGAAGCCAGCACTTGTTTGGTTTGGGTATAGCCTGCAGTCAGGCTCCCGAGCAGGAAATCTGCTCTACCTGCCCAATCTCCTGTACAGAACACCTTGACACACTCTGAGCACCTGCCCTCAGTACAAGAAGCATGCAGAAAAGTCTGTGTATTGCTCTAAGCTTTCTAAAGAAAGAAGAGATACAGAAGGAAAACGAGCTTTATGAGTCTTGCACTGCTAGCCTGCAATGAAATTCCACCTGAAAAAAGATGCTGTCTCCACACTGTCTCCAGAGAGCTTCAGATCTTGGTTTGTTCTGACAGTACTTTTCATATATTTGGAGGTCCTCTTTCTGCAAGAAAAGGAGAGTTTAGGTAAGGTAAGAAAAAAGAATCCATAGAGCATCTACATTGAATCACACTTTTTCTTACCTTCCATCCCAAGACATGAAATAATTAATACATGGAGATAACTCTGTATGTAAAAACATACCAAAACTACCAAAGTTACTTTTTACTCCTGATTAAGTTAAATACACCTGAAAGTAAGATTTTTTTTTTCCTCACTCTTAACACAAAGCAAGGAGACTGCAGACTGGAAGACACACAATCTAATTGCATAATCTTTCTGAGAGGGGAATAGATGGTTTGAAAACAAATAAAAAGACACATTAGAAATGTAAATTTTACTAACAATACTGGCACGGACTGTAATTGTTAACAGTGCTCACCACGTAGCTAAGGATTACCTGTTCAGCACACCCTGAAAATAGTGCTGGCTCTCAAAAATATACGGATGAATAAAAAAGTAGGAAGTTTGTCTTGTTGGTGTCCCAGGCCAGGCAGGGGGATATACTTAACCCTGTCTTATCCAAATTGATAGTGGGTGGATTCACTTCACCTCTGTTTAGCTTTGACTACACTGAGGTCCATGGCAAAAATCTCATTGAGTTCAGTGAAAACAAAGGCAATCTCCATAAAAGCTCAGAGGGGGATATTTTAAGCTCCCTGGGCTGTATGGGTGGATGCAGAGATGGGTGTTCCTCTGGCAGGTTCGGGGCTCACTGGCTATGCACCCAGGAAGCCCAGAAGCCACAGGGCCATGGAGCAGGGCTGGCTCTGCTGGGAGCTCCCCATCTTCATTTGCACCTACCCTGGGGGATGTGACCTCAGTGAATCAAAGAAAGCACCAAAAATCAATCTTGGGAATTCCTGGCTCTTGTCTTTGTGCTTTCAGTCCACTAGACAGTTCCTATACACTCCTGCTGCAGGGAAAGCTTTTCCTTTTGTATAGAGTTACTAGAAGAAATCAATGTTGCTGCTGTCTTCCTCTACAGACCCATACTGACATCACCCTGAGGAATCAGCTGTGAGCAAAGTTGTGCCACGGAACACTGAGCTGTGTTAAGGATTATGCAATACAAAAAGCTCTGTTGCAACTAAACAGAGGATTAATGGTCCAGTTTCAAAAGAGGTGCAGTGTTTTCTTCACAAAAATAGAATGGTTTGTACATGTTGTCTTGGAGGGAAGTTAGCAGGGGGTCAAACCCACATAACTTAAAGTAGGAATAAAGCATAATCAAGTATTACAATCTCTTCGTGGCCCACAGAACCAATTTCAATTTAAAGAAAAGGTACAATAACCAACAATCTACCAGTAATTTGCCATAGTGGAACCAACCTATGCCAATGCAATCTACTCCTACCTAAATCACCTATCTGCTCAGGCAGATACTTACATCTTTAAATACAGCTTTAAGTTTTGCAATACTGTTAGGAATAGGAAATTCCTGATGAAATTACTAGGATCAGACTCTAAAATGCCAAGAAATAATTAATTGCCTCATTATTCAAATCCCACTCTTACATGTTCAGCTCATATCTATTTTCAAATCCAAAGGTTCTGACTTCTTGCTGGTATTTTTACACCATGCTCATCTCTCCTGTAATGCTTTTCCTTTCCACACTGATTTGCACCTTGAGATCTCTGTAAGCTCCAATGCTCATGGCATATATGCACAGTTCCAATTATCTTTTGACTGCTAATTTATGAATAATTTTTGCTTCAGAGCAGAATTTAGCCCTTTGAGTCCAACTCAGGTTTCTGGTCAGCTGCTACTGTCCTTTCACAGATAGATTCCTTTTCTAAATGCTTCTTTCACCCTGAATCACCAAATGCCCTAACTGTCAGCTCCTACTAAATTATTCCCTTTTTTAAGGTTAGCAATATGAATAAGTAAACAGTGGTGACCCACAGTGAACCACTCCTGCCAGACACATCACCTGGCACATGTTGGTAAGCAGCCTGACAGACCTTTGGTTTCATGCTGGGCATTCCTGCCTTGGTTTGGTAAGCTTTCCTTCTTCCCAGTCCTTTGTATAGCAGATCAGCCCAGACTGCCCCTCCTGTTGCTGATAAAGCACTAGGAGACCCATCCTGCAAGGTTATTCAGTGCACATCCCTCCCTCTTTAAACAGCTGCATAATCCTTGACCACACAGAGCTTTAAATAAGTCAAGCATTTTGGTGATGGTATAATAGCTGCCATGTGGGCAAAGCTGAGCTGGCTCACTTGCAATTTAGTTCATATGAAAATTGTGCCGTAAACAAGGTCAGGCAAAGTGGGAGGGAGGACAAGAAGGGCATTTCTGGCTCATCTTTTACCTGATTCTACCATGTTCCAGGAGAGAAGCCAGAGAGGAGAAATAGGCTATGACTCCACAGCCTTTCTGCCATCACGTGAGAAGAAGAGTTCACATTCAGGGTAACAGCTGATCTGGTGGCACTGGTGGAGGTGGGAGAGTGTGTAGGGATATGGCAGAGGAACGACTGGCAGGGGATGGAGGGACTCTGGCACCAGAGTGTCTCACTGCAGCTCTCAGCATGCTTTCAGGAAACTCTAGAATCAGGGCTGAAAAAGCCCAGTATGATCAGACAGGGTAGAGCTCTTCAAGTATGAATCTAAAAAAACTGTTTATTTCTAATCACAAGCCCACCACGATGTTGTGGCAGGATGGCCACACCCATACAAAGAAGGAGAAATAGAGAAGAGAATCTGCAACAATGTGAGTTTCCTCACAGAACTCTGGCATCACCTGGAACAGCAGCTGCTTCTGTTTCCCCCTGTCATCGCAAGCACAGGCATAATTTATGGGGCAGCCAGAAGCCACTGCTCAGCAGGAAGGCATAAAAAGCTGCCAAATCATGGGGAACACAAACACACAACTAGACTTTTGTTTGTGCCTCCTAAAGGCAGTCCAACAGAAACAACACATTTCTGGACTTTATGTGGCTTCTTCTAAAAACAGAACATAAGGACAAGTTCTTGAATCAAAGGTGCTACTGTGTGAGCAGAGACATCTCAAGAGAGAAGCTTGTGCTTTCTTAGTGTGAAATTTGAAATAGGGAGAAAGCAAATGCATGATTTAACCTCTTATTTGATGAACTTAGCGTGGTTTGACTAGGCCACAGAAACTGATGAGCAAAGATGACAGACTTTTCTTTCACTTCAACCAACCTGAACCACAGCTTTAGTGCTGCTTTCAGTTTTGTAGAATAGTGAGGAGAATTGGGCTCATCGCTGTTTTTACAGAGAGAGACATAAGCTACAATATTTAAATATGGAATTTGAACTTTCTGCAGAATTATAGTATCAATTTTATATCAAGAATTTTTCTTTAGCTGTGAATCCAGGGATATTTGCAGCACATGGACTATTTTATGCTTCTTAGATTTCAAAGGTCTGCATTCTTCAAAGACCACTTATCCTCTTTTGCATAATGATTTCACCACAATATTTTCCTGCTCAGCATCTGAATCTTAGGATAACAACACATTCCTTAGTAGTGTCATTTACTCAAGCCCTAAATGCTTCGCTGTTAAACAGAAAATAATTCAGTGGACATATAATCATGTTTACACTCATATGACTCTCTTGAGTCTGACCTGTTTGTAAATTGGGGGCATACCCTTTGCAAGTATCACATGTTCATAATTCCCATCAAATCTTAGTGATGTGGGAGTGCTCAATATCTCTGACTGGTACATGCAAATCTGTGTGTATTTAATGTGTACCCTGGAAAAGCAGCAAATACTAGATGTATATGGGAGAGGCAGGAGGTACCTTTGACTACAGTGGACAGATTTTCCCGTTTTTCATGCCTCTTCCATTTCCTGTGCAAAACACAGTCTTATTCAAGCAGTTTTGTCAGACTCTGAAAACAGTAGCAATCCACCAAAAGATATTTTTTTTCTCATTAGTAGGGCCCCTGAATGAGTGCCATATAAACAAGCACCTTTGGTTGTGTTGCAGGAAACAGAACTAACAGTCAGGCTGGGGGGTGGGGTGGTGGAGGAGGGACATGACTGGGAGCTCTCGGGGGAAAAGCTGTAGAATTTGGGCACTGAGAGCCACGGGAAGCGAACACACACGGACCTGACCAAAGCCACCACTGCCTGAGGGCTTGAGGCTTTCTCAGAAATGAGCTCTCTTTACTTTTAAGCAAACAGCTGACCCCCACCACTTCATACAAGTGAGGAGAATCCCACTTGTTGAATTATGTGAAAAAGTAAGGGAATCAACCTCACAGAGTCTTACGGAGCTGGTGGGGTCCATGTGAAGATGGCAGCAGACTCTGCTGGGCCAGGTCTAGGGGAGTAAGTCCTGAACTGTGCAGAGAAAAGAAGGATAAGATAAGGCAGGAACAGGATGTATTGTCTGCACTCAGGGTAATCCTCTGTGATACTGTGCTGTGCTTTTTTACTGCAGGTTGTTGTCAGGGTTACAGTAGACTGCTGGTATAGATTTTTCTGATATGAAAAGCACGTTAAACATTTGGATCACTGCTATTTGTTGGTTTGTTGTTTGTTTTTTTCTTTTAAAGGGGACTTAAATTACTTGGTAAAACACTAGTAAAAGCTCTCTTCCTGTCAGTAAACCAGGTAAAGGGTTAGATTTCAGAATACATCCTTGTTATCTATGGCTTAATTTGGGAATATCTGTTTATGGGAGTTGCCCTCATTCACAAAAGCAATTGGAGAGAAAGGATAGGAGTAAATCTGTAAGTCCTGTAGGATAAGCCCATAGATACAAACATGCAAAAGGATGTACTTACTCTTTTTAAAAAGCATCGGGCAAGAAGCTCAGGGTTTTCAATGCAATTTTCTATCTCCTTAAGGAAAATCCTGAGAGGGAAAAAAGAGAGCAAAGAGTAATGTAAAATTCTACTTATATTGCATGCTAGCTTCTATGTAAATCCAGCTTAAAGCCTGTATGTTTGTAGTACTAGGATTCAGTGGGGAAGATAACAATTCTGACACACAGAGAAATACATATTTTAGAAAAATGGGATGTGGTTCACAGCTGATTCCCTAAATCACCAACATTATCATGTTTGCATGTGATCACAAGCATTTGATACATCTGGTTCCTCTGGCTGTTGAGATTTGTTTCTACTATGTAGCCCAAATACCTGCAACCCATTTGGGTATGAGATTTTTCAGAACAGCTAGAAAAGACAGGAAAGCTCTGTCAGATGCAGTTGCTCAATCAGCAAGCAGTGGAAATATGGGATGTAGTCCAAAGGCTTCTGCAGTCACAGTCAATGCATGAAGCCTTTAGGGAAAGACTGGCCTTGCAAAGGGAGAGGAATATCCTTCTCCAAATGAAAGACACAATCTTTCAAAACAATATATAAATAATATATAAACCGGAAAATAATTTTTCTAGTATGTATTGACTACACTGGCATAATATTAAGATTTGCAAAAGAGAGAGCTTTTATATTTATTTTGTTCAACTGTTTGTTATATCTTACAGGGAATTATTATTCAAAATAATTCCTGGATTCTCACTTTGGTTATAGACAGTTTTACTTACACAAGGCTAGGAAAAGCAGGAAATTTACAGAAGTAGTCCTAAGCTTTGTGTTTTGAAAGCTGATTGAAAAGAGGTTGATCTTGTTCCTAACTGTAGTTATGGGCTCTAGATTACCTTGTCCACAGTATGGACTAGGCTTCTACCAAGGTGTATGACCATATGAAGGATAAAATTCCTTATGAAAAGTGCTATGAAATATATCACTTCTTCTGACCTGATAACAGAAATATAGGACAAATAAGCTGAACACTAAGAAAACTTCCTCACAGAGGGGTTTTGCCAGAGAAAGAACATCAGGATTTAGTCCTGTGATATTTACCAGTGTACCAAGAGAGGTGGTAAAATGCTCACCACAAGGGGCATTCAAAATGGATAATGCATGGGGAAATCACTAGTAAATGCACAAAAGGGCATAATCTTTCACAAGAAAAGGTGAAATACAATGGTCTCAGACATGATCTCTACACATGGGTTTTACAGGACACACACAGAGGCAGAGTGAGGATGACTTTTCCTGCCAGTGTACACATGAGTATGATAAAGCACCCAACAAAAAAGGAGTAGCAATGACTATAGCACCCGAGGACACAGAACAACCACCAGTTCCCACATACCTGTTGTGGAATTCGTAGATTTCTGGGAGGTTCCCAAAAAGAATTTCCTTCTTGTTTTGAAGTGCAGATGGAATCAGGTGTAATAAATTGGGATTGTCCATTTCTGAAGCGTACCCCTGCAGAGAAGAATGGAAAATAAAACCAGCCTGTTTTTACCAGGGGAAGAAGTACCATGTCTGATACACTGGAAAGCCCCAAAGTCTATGTGGTTGTGTTCTCAACAGAGCATACAAAGGCTTCTCTCATGCCTGCTGCTTTGTTGCTCCCGTGAATTTCTGCTGTTTCTGGTTTTCCCCAGAGCTTTTACCAAGCAACTGTGCAAACACATTTTTAACCACAAATGGACAGATTACTGGGTTAAACAAAAAAAAAGTGTGCTGATATCATATGAGTTTCAAAAGTTCAAGAACTATATTTGCATCATGAGCTGCTGTGTTCATGCACTACATGGGACAATAAAGAAGAGCAAGAGGAAGGCCTTCCTTTTCCTCAATCATTTTCCAACCCTACATTTACAGAATTTAGTGTCTGGTCCCATGGAAATCAAGCATGCTGCTTCTAAGACCTACTGGTGATTGAAAAGGCACATCATTAACTATTCCTCTGTCCATAGCTTTGAGAACCATGCAACTTGTATCACTCTGTGGGCTGGGGCCAAGGGAGGTGCCTCCTCCTTTAAGCCCTGAGGAAAGATGTTCAAAACATCCTTCCCATTCTCCATCTCCAAGGCTGAGCTATCTTGCTAACACAGCCTTGTGTTATAAACAGGAGGTGGGAGTGCTCAGCCCATGTAGGATGTGCACCTGCAGTGATGATTTGGAGGTTAAGCACTGGAAGTCATTTCAGAAGAGTTTCTTACCTCTATTATACTTTGAAGTTCTTCTACATAAACCCGTTCTGTTTCTATCAGCTCATTGATTATGTGGCTAAAAGAAAAGAAAGGTGGAGGGTTATAGTGTTTATCCACAGTTCAACAAAGCACATATGAAAGAAAAAAATTGTATTCCTTGCATATTCTTTTTATGCCTCTGACTACACACAAAAAAACCCTCTGAAGGTCATTTCTCAGTACTTCAATATTGTGCTTTGATAAGATTAAAAGACCTAAACACTTCTTGGACTATAATTTTTTTTCAGCTCATTTTAAACTTCATCTTGGTTTCTTCTGTCATTTTTATACCTGCAAATCTGAAAAAAAAAAAAAATTTAAAATGCCCCAGAAGGCAAACAAAAAATGGTTTATCTTCTAAGAATAACTAACAATACTCAATAAAATGAAATTATATTTCAAAGCTATGTTAATGTTTCTGTTTTACTTTCTTTTATACAATAAACAAACTTGGTGACTAGACTTCTTTAATACATTGCAAAAACAGGCAACAGGATGATGTCAGAAGTCTGGAAACATGAAAGTAAGTTAGACTAAAATATTTATACTACATATATCTTGAAGATGCCTGATGTATTTCACAGAAACATGAATGTAACCAATTGACTTTTGGACAAATAACTAATTGAATTTTAAAATAAAATTGCATTTGGTCTGTCTTTTTTTATTTTTTTTTTTAATGCATCAACTGTCCCATATTATCAAGAAAGTGTTGTCTTTAATGCTCTTATGAACAAAGTTTTCAGGGTAGCTCCTTCAGAGGTTTGAGCAGTTTCTCCCAGTAGAAAAGGACAAGTGCCCAGTGTTCTTTTTCTGGTCCGTGCTCCACAAGAGTCTGTAAGCACACAGCTGCCTCAAGCAAAAACACATCCTAGAAGGACACTAGGGAGTACTGTCCAAAGGAACTGGAGGATGGCCAGCCACAAGCAGCACACAAACTGAGGCCAGTAAAGTGTAGGCAACTATTGGCATCAATTCCAGCACGTGCATTCACCCAGCACCTCCCTGTACATGTGGCCTACGTCTGGTTACCTGGATTTTATATATCACACAACCATCACATAATCAGACAGACCCCATTAGTTCTTTACATCATGAACCCCATCTGTACTGTTGCATCCACTATAAGTGGATTTTGTCATCCTCCACAGTTTTTTAGGATGTCCTTTTTGTGACTGAAAGAATGATCACACTTCTGATAAAGCCTCATTTGAATGGTTTGGCCAGGCATTTGAAAGTAAAATAATCACATTTCAACTTGCAGCTTGAAATGCAAAAACACTGACTAAAACCTTACTAGGCTACCAAAATAGATTCATTGGTTTGCGTTGGATTTCCCCAGTTTTTTCAAGGCAATGTGGTTTTGCAGACTGGATCTGAACCACTTATTCTGTTCTCATAGGCTATTACTGCTTTATGCACCACTGCTTGAGAAAAATTATAAATACCGAGAAATGAGATCTTACCTTCAACTGACCCATAATGTTTCAAATTTTGTTATAAAATAGCTAGGATTTCATAGGTTTCTTGACATAAGGCCTTAAATAAAGACAGAACTGCAGAGTGTCTACCATAAGGTAGAGTAATGGGTCGGGGCTGTACCCTGCACACTCAGGGAGTCCTGAGTCCAATTACTTGACATCCACATTGAGCCAATTATCTCCAAATTGAGACATTTATGCATAGGAAAGCCACACCTAGCAATATATTGGCCTCCATGACTAAATAGTACTATGTAACAAACAAAAGTGCAAAGGGCTTCTGCAGTACTTTACATGACTTCACGAAGCCAAGCTGCGTTGGACCCTAACCCATGTTAGAGAGCCCTGTCTCTCTATCTGTGCCCATCCCACAGTCTCCAGATGTTATTTTACATGATTATAACACTATTCTTTGGAAAATGTTATTCTGTATGTCTTTCTCTGACAGGGTTGCTGCTATAGCAGCCACCACAAACACTTGGTACAAAGCCATCAAAAAAGAGCCTTCTCAGCTCCAGTGCTCCCAGAGTAATTTCCCCCAATTGCTCTGCAAATAATAACCACAGCAGCAAAATCTAAAACATTAAAGGTTGTTGCACATGAATCACCCTCTTGTCAAACTGTTAACAATACAAAGTGTGCACTTGGCCACAGACCTTAGAATTGCCCTGACAAAAACACAATTTAAGAGCAGCAAATTAAAGAGCTATGTGAGTGTGTCTTGCTGCTACAGGGGAAAGCATTGAGAGATCTAGAGGAGACACTTTTATGCTGACTATGTGAGCATGCTGGGTTGGGAAATGGTGAAGTAGAGAGCTCACTATACAGCACAAGGAATTTAATGGCATTTGAGATAGTCTAACAGCCTAGATTCATATCAAGACATGAGGGGTGAAATGGGAAAAGCTCATCTCTTCTGGGATGTCACAGAATTGTTTATGTCATAGAATTGTAAAAGCCTTTAAGATCACAGAGTCCAACTCTTAAATCAGCACTGCCAAGCCCACCACTAAACCGTGTCCCCAGTTGTCACATCTACATATCGTCTAAATCCCTCTGGGAATGGTGACTTCCAGCTCCTCCTGTCTGTTGCCCGTGCTGTGTGCACTGGTGTAGATGTACTTCAGCTGGGCTACTGATCCCACTACCTTTTTGGGGGGAGAAGCACTAATTCCTACATAACCATTCTCAGGCATTTCTGTGGTTTCTAACTCATCATTAACGCTTGGGTCTTTGCTCCCACATGGATCTCCATCCCTGACCTCCACTGAGACAGCAGACAGAAGGACCTCACTAGCCCACCCTTCACACCCTGTTGTGCAAATTGCTGCATGAACTGTCATGCCAGGCCCTGTTTGCCCACTCTGTTTGTAGCACTCCTGGTTGCTGCCATTCCCCAGGAGTTTTGTTTATAGAAGAAAGGCTGGAGAGACTTGGCTGCCATTGCTCCTGGCCACACTCAGGTCCCATCAGCCACTCCTGCTCCAGCTGTGGGCTCCTGGTGACTCTCTCTGCTCTCCCTGTGGTTTCTCCAGTTTGGGAAGCTCCATCTTGTGCACTTTCCACTGTGAGAGAGACATGTCTATAAACTCTACAGTTTCTGTTCCACTGTCGAGTGTGCCACTGCTGGAGTTGCTGACCTCGGTGACTGTCATGGGGCAGCAAGGGGAACTCAGCACACACCTGCTGCAAGGATCATGTTTTAGGGAAATATGATACAGCAATTGACAGGACTATTGTCACAGGCAGTCCTTCCAAATCCCTTTTCCCCTTTGACATGCATGACTAGGTTAGAAATCATTTCTAGTGTAACTGGGATGTGTGAGGTATGTCTCATTTCAGAGACATTTTACAAGACTAGGAGGTTTGTGTGGCAGCAGTCCAAAGACAACAAAACTGAGTTGGCTGAATTTTATGGGTAGCTCTCACAAGGATAGTTCCTCACCAGGATCATTCTCAAGCAAACAGGCCATCTCAACAGGGATGGTAAAGGATTAGGCATCTGACCTGAAAGTCTAAGTTTTCCATGGAATCTGAGAAATCCCTAAGGTCCTATCTGTAGGCATCCTTGTTGCCAGTAAATCTTCATTCCAGTCGAGTATACTTGCTCTTTCCCTAAAGAAACAAATAAACTCACCAAATTAGAAGAATTTGTCAAAGGTGGAATACTCTTGTCCCAATAGTACCTGACTCACCAGCTTTCCTGGTGTGGAAATAGTGAAACACTGCTCAGGAGATGAAGGCCAGCTTTTCTCCTGTGTCCTAGAAGAGGGGGCTCAGCCACCACTGACCTGGCAAAGAACTCTGTATGGCAGGGCCTCTGCTGCCACCATCACTTGGCAGTTAGGACGTGGTTGTGGCAGGGATCACACACAGGCTCCTTGATACAATATTGTCAGATGTTCCTCCAGCAAAGGAAATTTCTTGTTATGGAACAAAATTAAATGCATGAACTAGCTCACATTTTGTTGAGTGATTGATCTCGGTTTCTAATGAAACATCATGGCCTTGGCTACACTAAGACCACGTTTCCCACAAGTGGGATTTCACATGGGTTTCCTTTGGGCAGGTTATTCTTGCTTCAGCAGCCATGGCATCCTGCAGCACTACTGAGATCTCACACATTGAGCCAGTCTCCACCACTCCTAGCTTTGAGAAGCACAATAAGGATGAAACGAAAGGAGAAAATAACAGGAAAACTATTTCTGCTTTGTTACTAGTGCTCTCTTTGACATCCGGCAAGTTAATCATGACATGCTGGAGTGAAGAAAAAAAATAATTGCCCAAAGAATTCCTTTCAACAAGGGTGAGAATGTAGGAACTGCAATGGACATCAAAGCATTGGGAAGAGACTTGTTTTTAGCCAAGGTCATAAGTGAAACCTTGAAAATGAGGTAAACTCTGGTATTAATTAGCACCCTTCATTTACAGCCATGCATTTCTCTATCTGCCCCTGCCTGTGCTGACATTTAGATCAAACTTAGCTATTTATATTGCCATGAACAGTACAAATAGCAATTACCAATGTTGTTAACTAAATATAAAGTTACCCTGCACTGCATTGCCCTTTGCAACAAAACTCTCTCAACAGGTATTTATCTGAGCTGGCTTCCTCTGGTAACAGAGAGCACACTGCTGGGAAGGTCATCACCCCAGTGACCATAAAACAGACACATACCAGACCATTTTATGTCAATAACTCTTTCTCCTTCTTTCTTCTTCAATAACAGAAGAAAAAGGAAATATAATTGAATGGCTGGACAAGCTCCCCAGAGGTGTCAGGTCGTTCTGCAGGTCTGTATCACAATGATTTTGGTAGGAGCAGTGTCAGACGGTTTCTCTGCTGTGCTAGGAGCTGCCTTAAAAGACCCCATCTAATATAATGCAAGACTAAGCAGAAATAACATCTAGAGATTACCACAACCTATTAATATCTCCTCTGAATAAATCTCAATTGCTTTGTGCTCATACAGTTACTATTTGTGCATCCTGCTCAGATGGCAACACAAACTAATTGAGGATTTTTGTTTCCATAGCTGTGCTGCTTCTCTAACAA